GGAAGCTCTTTATCTATCTGCCCTTCAATTCTAAACGATAGCTTTGCTGGGTAAAACAATCTTGGCTCTAGGTCCTTGCTTTTCATGAATTTGAATATTTCTTGCCAATCCCTTCTAGCCTGCAAAGTTTCTTTTGAGAAATTAGCTGACCATCTTATGGGAACTCCCCTGTAGGTAACTAACAGCTTTTTCTCTTGCTACTTTTAAGATTCTCTCTTTATCTTTAACCTTTGGCATTTTTATTATGATGTGTCTTGGAGTGGGCCTTTTTGTATCCATCTTGTTTGGGACTCTCTGTGCTTCCTGGACTTGCATGTCTATTTCTTTTATCATATTAGGAAAGTTTTCTTTCATTATTTTTTCAAATAGATTTCCAACTTCTTGCTCTTTATCTTCTCCTTCTGGCATCCCTATGATGCAAATGTTAGAATGCTCAAAGTTGTTTTAGAGGCTGCTTACACTATCCTCGGGGGGTTTTTTTTTTTTTTTTTTTTTTGCATTTTTTTTTCTTCTTGATGTACTGATTGGTTGTTTTTTGCTTCCTTTTGTTACAAATCATTGATTTGATTCTCGCCTTCATCCACTCTACTGTTGTTTCCCTGTAGATTGTTCTTTATTTCAATTAGTATATCCTTCATTCTGACTGGATCTATTTTATGCTTTTGAGGTCTCACTAAGTTCCTTGAGCATCCTTGTAACCAGTGTTTTGAACTCTGCATCTGATAGATTGCTTACCTCCATTTTGTTTAGCTCTTTTTCTGATGTTTTGATCTGTTCTTTCATTTAGGCCATTTTTCTTTGTCTCCTCATTTTGCAGTCTCCCTGTGTCTGTTTCTGTGTATTAGATAGAGCTGCTACGACTCCCTGTCTTGGTAGTATGGCCTAATGTAGTAGGTGTCCTGTAGGGTCCAGAGGCACAACATCCCCTATCACCCAAGCTGGGTACTTGAGGTGCGCCCTTTATGTGGGCTGGGTACACCCTCCCCTTGTGGTTGACCCTCGTTTGCTGTTGCCAGGACAATGGGAGAGATTTATCCAGGCCATTCAGCTGCAAGGACTGGCTGTGACCACTCACTGCTGCCTCCACCCTCCATGGAGGATCAGCTGTGTAGAGGCAAGGTAGTGGTGCTCCAACTTGGTCTGTAGCTGTCCACTGGGTAAATGGGGTAGGCTCTCAGGTTCCTGAATGATGAAGGCCAAGGTCAGTCCTAGCCCATGTTCTGCCCAGGGCCACCCTGCATGAGCTATAAAGCAATCTTAGAAGGCTGCTACCTGTGCTGGGCTTGGAGATTCCCAGGTGAAGCCAAGCTGTGAATCTAGGCTGGCTACTGCTAGTCCTGGGCCTGGGACCACTTAGCAAGAGGTACAAAGGTTAGGGGCTTACTGAGTCTGGCTGTTGCTTGTTTGATAAGATTAAGAAGTTGTGAAGCATGAGTCAAGACCAGCCATTCATATGGAAAAGTAATGGTTAACAGTTTGGGTGACCCAGTAAGTTGGGTGGGATGGAGCCTCAGGGGATCTCCAGGGTGGAACAAACAGTGTTAGACAGGTTGGTGGAGTCTCAGATATGGCACTCACCTATCTGCCACCCTGTGTCTCTGTGGGGAGAAGGGCTCAGAAGAGGGACTACAGCCTCTGCCTGTGTTTCTGTCTGGGAGAAAGCTGTCCCTCAGCTTCCATTTTAATGCCAGACACTTCTGTTTCTCCCTGTATGCCAGTGCTGCCTTTCAAGCTGCTTGCTATACTAGTGCTAGAGCTCACAGGGAGTCTGAGTAAGTTGGTATATAGATTCTTTGAGGGGAACTGCTTGGAACTCTAGAAGTTTCTACTAACTTAATCCCTGCTAGTTTTTACAGCCATATGTTATAGGGACTTTTCCTCCTGGCACTGGAACCCTGGGCTGGGGGGCCTCGTGTGAGGGTGGGACTCCTCCTGAGATATTCTTCCCAAAATTTTATCCACCACACGTGGATGTGGGACCAGCCTATTCTGCATTTCTGCCCCTCCTACAAGTCTGGACAGATGTGGTTTCTTTAATTCTGTAGTTGTCAGACTTCCGTTCAGTTCGATTTCTGATGGTTCTGATGGGTAGTTGTTCTATATTTTAGTTGTAATTTTGATGTGGTTGTGCGAGGAGGCAAGCCGTGTTTACCTATGCTAACATCTTGACCAGAAGTCCAGATATAGAGAATGTTTTAAAATGGAAAATGTGGTCAACGGTGTATAGTGATTTTGACAGATATCAAGTAAGATAAAGACAAATATCTCCTAGATTTTGTGACACTGAGCTAGATCATTGGGAGACCTTGGGGAGGGCTATGTGGTGGGCTGAAGGAGGTGTAGAAGCCAGATGAGAGCGGATATGAGGCATTCATGGGATAAGGGGGAATAGAAACATCTAGTACAGTTAATTCTTTTGACAACTGTGGCCATGAAGTAGAGGATAGAGATATGTGGTGGCTGGAGGGAATATGAGATTGGGGAAGGTGTTTTGTTTTATTTTGAGGTGTAACTTTCATACCATGACATGCACAAATTTTAAGTGTATAGCTCAATTTTTGAATAGGTATACATCTGTTTACCACCCAGATCAACGTGCAGAACATTTCTAGAAATCCCCCTTGTAACTCCTCCCAGTCAGTATCATCCTCTAAAGTAACCCTACCCTATCTTCTAAAAGCAATAATTTGCTTTTAGAACCTCACAGAAATAGCATCTTTCAAAATGGTTGTGTGTATGTGATTTCTTTTGCTCAGCATTGTGTGTGTAAAATTTATTCATGCTGTCTCGTGTAGCCAGAGGGTATTTTCATTGCTGTATAATATTCCATTGTATGACAATGCCTCAGTTTATTTCTCCATTTTACTGTTTACAGATGCTTGAGTTTTTTCCAGTTTTGACTGGCATGAATAAATCTCATGAACATTTTCATACATCTTTTGGAGGATGTGCAGTCATTTCTATTGGATATTTACCACGCAGTAGAATTGCCAGGTTACAGGCTATGTGTTTTAGTTAGTAGATACTGCCAGTTTTCCAAATGCAGGGATGTCATTTTCACTGGGGGCCACATCAGCCTCTTGGTTGCCTTCAAAGGGCTGAATGTAATTTTAGGACTGTATAAATGTAATTACTCCTTTACAGTTAAGTGAGAGCTCTGCGCTGATGCTGGGTAGAAACAAGGTGCCGGGCCGGATAAAACAAGGTGGAGGGCCAGATTCGGCCCACGGGCCTTGTGTTTGCCGCCTGTGCCCTAATGTATGCTTCTTTTGTCAATAGATGAGAGCTCCAGTAGTTTCATATGCTTGCCAGTATCGAGCAATGGCGGTCCCTTTCATTGTAGCCATTCTGGTGGATATTTGATGACATCTCATTGTGGTTTTAATTTGCATTTCACTGATTACTAGTGATGGTATTCACCTTTTCATGTTTATTGGCCCTTTGGATATACTGTATTCTTATCTGGAGTACCTGTTTAAGTCTTTTGCCAATTTAAAAAACTAGGTTGCCTGCCTTTTTGTCTTTGTTTTTGAAGTTCTTTATTTTAGACTTTAAACCTTTTTCTCAATTTTTTTTTCTGACATATCACACAGTTGAGCCTTGAGCAGGGTGGAACGGAGCTGCGTAGGTCAGTTGGGAAGAATCTGCATGTAGGAGGACCCGCAGCTCAACCCTGCTGTGTTCAAGGGTCCACTGTGTTTTCTCCCAGTCTATGGCTCTCCTTATTCTCTTATTGGTGTCTTTTGATGACCAGAAGAGGTTACCAGTTTCACTGGGGTCCAATGTATCAGTCTCTTTTTTTATGGTTAAATTTTGTGTGAAATCTTCTATGGTTAAATTTTGTGTGGTTAGGTGTTAAGGAAATCTCTGCTTACTCTGAGGTCATAAAGATATTTTCCTATATTTTCTTCTGTAAGATATTGTTCTGAAAGTTATTGCTTTATCTTTCAAAATTAGATCCATCAGATTTATTTCAAATTAATTTCTGTGTGTGGACATAAGGTAGAGCTAGGTGGTTTTTCCATACACATTTTCAGTTGACCAAGCACCGTTTACTGAAAAGACCATTCATTCCCTCTTATTGTAGTAACACTTTGTCATACACGTGGGTCTGTTTCTGAACCCTATTCTGTTGGTCTCCCAGTGTCTTTATAATAAGTTTTGATACTTGGTAATGTAAGTCCTCAGGAAAAGGGCTTTTTAAAAACTGGCAGCTCATATAATAGCCGATGGAAAGGACCTAGTTGAGCAAAGTAAGTGGTGAATAAAAGAGAGAGAGGACACTCTGCACCTGAAGGTTGCTGAGAGGCTAGTAGGAGCTGGGATGCAGGTGCTCGTGGAAGGCTTGGCCTTGGATACTCCCCCACTGATCATCCGACATGAATGTGTTAGACAGCTCCTTGTGTGCCAGGCCCAGGCACACAGTCGTGCACTTCCATGGAATTCCCATTCTAGTAGTGGGAGAAAGAACAAACAAGTGTCCGCACAGATAACTCAGGCAGCAGTGAATGCCATGAGGAGCTAAGGGGGATACTATGGGAGAGAGTAATGGAAGACTGCTCCAGCTGGGCAGCAAGAAAGGCCTCTAGGTATCGATGACATATGAGTTAAGATCTTAACAAGAAGGAGCCCGTCTTTAAGAGCTGAGTGAAGAGCATCCCAGAGAGGGAATATATAGGTCCTTAAGCTAATAATGCAAGTTGGGTCCTTAAGCTAATAATGCAAGTTTGTGGTGTCTGTGGAACACACAAAGGACCGGTGTGGGTGGAGCAGTAAAAAGAGATGGGGAGCAGGGTAAACAAATGACATTAGAAAGTGAGTACAACAATGAATCTCTCCAAGGGGGGATTCCTTAGGGCTGAGTTAAACGTGGATTTTTACTTACATGTGAGGTGGGTAGATTAGTTGTGGGTGGTGGGACTGTTGTCAATGTGCGTGTTGGAGGGGACATCTTGTCTTCCCTGTGAAACTGCTCTCACACTTACCCTCTCTCCTTGCAGCCTCCTGAATGATGCCAGCCCAACATTCCCTAACCTCCAACCTGGCCCTCCTGCTGCTGCTGGGCACAGTCAGAGCAGGCCCTTTCTCTTCACGCTCCAATATTACACTCCCTGCCCCACGACCCCCTCCTAAGCCAGGGGGCCGCACAGCAGAACCAAGAGGGGCGAACCCCACTTCTCAGCTTTATGAGCACACTGTAGAAGGAGGGGAAAAGCAGGTGGTGTTCACCCACCGTATTAACCTGCCCCCTTCAACTAGCTGTGGCTGTCCCCCGGGCACTGAGCCCCCGGTCCCTGCTTCAGAGGTGCAGGCCTTGAGGGTCCGCCTAGAGATCCTGGAGGAGCTGGTGAAGGGGCTCAAGGAACAGTGCACAGGGGGATGTTGTCCTGCTGCTGCCCAGGCTGGCACAGGTAAGCAAGTGACCACAGGAGGGGGCACAGAAAAAGAGGCGAGTGCAGCAGTTGAGGGGGCATAGCTGGGTATGAGTTAGAAAGAGGCACCCCTTCCTCACCCTTGGGGGCGGTGAGTACAAACTTGGAGAGGGGAGAAACCTGGCTAGATGTCAGCTCCCTCCCCTTCTCCCTAGCATATGCTGGGGTTCTGGGAGACCACATATATTGACCAGGAGCAGTCGGAAGCTAAGATGGCTTTATGAAATGAGGCTGGCGCTCATGAAGGGGACAACTCAAGGGAGCACTATATGGGCTCAGACTCTCCCCCAGAGAGACTGAGGCCCTCCTCTTGCTCTTATTCTAGGTCAGACAGACATTCGTAGCCTCTGCAGTCTCCACGGTGTGTTTGACTTGAGCCGCTGTGCCTGCTCCTGCGAGCCAGGCTGGGGCGGGCCCTCCTGCTCAGACCCCACAGACGCCGGAGTGTCCCCTTCCTCGCCACCCTCCGGGTCCTGCCCAGATGACTGCAACGATCAGGGGCGCTGTGTCCGCGGTCACTGTGTGTGCTTCCCTGGCTACACTGGCCCCAGCTGTGGCTGGCCCTCCTGTCCTGGGGACTGCCACGGCCGTGGGCGCTGTGTGCAGGGCGTGTGCGTGTGCCGGTTGGGCTTCTCTGGTGACGACTGCAGCCTGCGCTCCTGCCCTCGAGGCTGCAGCCAGAGGGGGCGCTGCGAAAATGGGCGCTGCGTGTGTAACCCCGGTTACACAGGTGAGGACTGTTCAGTAAAGAGCTGCCCCCGGGGCTGCAGCCAGAAAGGGCGCTGCGAGGAAGGGCGCTGCGTCTGTGACCCTGGCTACACTGGAGAAGACTGTGGCTCACGGACCTGCCCTTGGAACTGTGGTGAAGGTGGGCGCTGCGTGGACGGCCGCTGCGTGTGCTGGCCTGGGTACGCGGGTGAGGACTGCAGCACACGGATTTGCCCGCGCAACTGCCGAGGCCGCGGGCGCTGCGAGGACGGAGAATGCATCTGCGACACCGGCTACAGTGGGGACGATTGCGGCGTGCGGAGCTGCCCCAGCGACTGCAACCAAAGGGGCCGCTGCGAGGACGGCCGTTGCGTGTGCTGGCCAGGGTACACAGGGCCCGACTGCGGTGCGCGCGCCTGCCCGCGCGACTGTCGGGGCCGCGGGCGCTGTGAGAATGGCGTGTGTGTGTGCAACACAGGCTACAGCGGCGAGGATTGCGGCGTGCGCAGCTGTCCTGGAGACTGTCGTGGCCGGGGTCGTTGTGAGAGTGGCCGCTGTGTGTGTTGGCCCGGGTACACGGGCCGGGATTGCGGAACGCGGGCCTGCCCTGGCGACTGCAGAGGGCGCGGGCGTTGCGTGGATGGTCGCTGTGTGTGCAACCCAGGTTTCATGGGCGAGGACTGTGGGAGCCGTCGGTGTCCCGGGGACTGTCATGGTCGCGGCCACTGCGAGGATGGCGTGTGCACGTGTGACGCTGGCTACGAGGGAGAGGACTGCAGCTTACTCAGCTGCCCAGGAGGTTGCCGAGGCCGTGGCCAGTGCCTAGACGGACGTTGCGTGTGTGATGACGACTACTCAGGCGATGACTGCGGCGTGAGGCGGTGCCCGGGAGACTGCAGCCAGCGCGGCGTGTGCCAGGACGGTGTGTGCACCTGTTGGGAAGGCTACGCGGGAGAGGACTGCAGCCTCCGTACCTGCCCCTCCAACTGCCACCAGCGTGGCCACTGTGATGATGGGCGCTGTGTGTGCTACTCAGGCTACACCGGCCCCTCCTGCTCCATCCGCACCTGCCCGGCCAACTGCCGGGGTCGTGGGCGCTGTGTGCAGGGATCCTGCGTGTGCCACGCAGGCTACAGCGGTGAGGACTGTGGACAGGAAGAGCCTCCTGCCAGCGCCTGCCCTGAAGGCTGCGGGCCCCGGGAGCTGTGCCGTGCAGGCCAATGTGTGTGCGTTGAGGGCTTCCGAGGCCCGGACTGCGCCATCCAAACATGCCCGGAGGACTGCCGTGGCCGAGGAGAGTGTCGTGAGGGCAGTTGCATCTGCCAAGAGGGCTATGCAGGGGAGGACTGTGGAGAAGGTGAGTGGGCAGCCTTCCCCAGTATCCTCTGTCAGGGACTGGGAATCTGAGTCAGTGGGAAGGCCCCACCCTGAGGCCCTGGAGCCCAGGGAGTTGGAGAGAGGGTGGAAGAAGGTTATATATGGGGGGAGTGGGCAGTCACAGGAGCCAGGGAGCCAGTGTCCACCAGGAACAGCAGAACCATGGGGTCATACCTGTATGCAGGACCTGCTTTCAAATATCTTATGAGCAGGTTGAGGGCCACTTGGTTGCTTTCAGGGAGATTCTGTGTTCCTGGATGGAGGAGAAGCTGAAGGAAACCTAAGGCCTGTTCAGGCCTTTGTCAGCTTTGCCACATCTCCAGAGAGCAGTGGGAACAGGGATTGACCTCTTTGTGTGCCCCCGAAAAGGGGGCCTGTGATGATGGGGATCAGGTGGGGCTGCCTTGGGCTAACCAGCTTCCCATATTCCATTCTCCGGGCAGAGGTGCCAGCCATTGAGGGCATGAGGATGCACCTCCTGGAGGAGACGACGGTTCGGACAGAGTGGACCAGGGCTCCTGGCCCTGTGGATGCCTATGAGATTCAGTTCACCCCCACGGTGAGAGGCACACTCCAGGAGGGAACGAGAGGGTAGGACCAGGGTAGGGGCTGCACACCTCATGCAGGACATTCCAGGTAATCAGTGCTTGAGTCCAAATATCTGGGTTCCTGAAGCTGCTGTAAAGTCTTTCTTGCCCTGCCCTACACAGGGTGCTGAGGGCTTTTGCAGCAGCTCCTGCTGGAACACCTCTGGTGACAGCGAGCTCAGCGCTCTCTGAGGCTGTCCAGTCCTTTGGTGGTCATCATTGTCAGGCAGTTCTCTTTGTTACTGCTGAGTCCACATCTGGCCCACTCTAACATCCGTCCAGTGGCCCTAGCTGGGCCTTCACCAACAGAGTTGCTTGCCCTACATCCCTCACCACAGCCTTTCAGGGATTTGGAGACATCAGCCATCACGTCACCCTTCATTCTCATGGGCAAAACCCACTGGTTCCTCCCCACCCTTTTCCTTAGGACTTTGTTCTTGAATTCTTCACTTCCAGAGTTCCCTCTTCTAGTGCCTCCTGCTTTGTTCATTTGTCTCTAAAACATGAGTGCAGAGAAGAGGAGCTAATTCTGGAGACACAGCACTTTTCTCAGAGTTGACATATTAACTTGTGGTCACACAAACTGTCAGCTGTTTTGATCATATTTGTTTTTTGTTTTTAATTTTATTTATTTATTTTTACAGAGATGGGAAGGGAAGGAGAAAGAGAAGGGGAGAAACATCAATGTGTGGCTTCTGGCGCTCCCTCTACTGGGGACCTGGCCCACAACCCAGACATGTGCCTTGACTGGGAACCAAACCGGCAACTCCCTGGTTTGCATGCTGGCACTCAATCCACTGAGCAATACCAGCCATAGCTGATCATATTTGTTTTTTTAAATAACTTTTTATTATAAAACTTATGTAGGCTTAGTGTGGGAACTTCAGGAAATATAGATAAGTAAGGAAAAAAGAAAGAAAAAGGAATGAACTATATACACTTTTTTTAGCCTAAATATAGGGCTTTGTAGTTGGCTCTGTTTCATATAATCTTTTCTGGTTTGGGCCAAGCTGTCTACGCTGGTGCAATAATTTTGAATCTGTGAAGTGGTTCTTCTGCCTCCATGTCGTCACTGTATTATTGCAAAGCATCCTTCCTCTGTGTCCTTCCAACTTACACTTAAAATGTTGGGCGGAGGGTACCTGAAGGACAAAGCCTTGTGGCCTCCCATTAGAGACCTCCCTTTGTGCAGTATGGGCTTTTATGATGTGTTTGGTCTCCTAACTCCAAATCATCTCACATTTCTACTGTCCAATTCATGTTTTCCTGCATCATCCCACAAATGTCACAGTAGGTAGGCCATGTCACCCTCATCTCTGCCCAGCCAGGGCTCTGGAAAAATAAATAACTCCCAGGGCCAAAACCCTAGGAAGCCTCTGGGACAGAAGGAGCTGCTCAGAGATGCTGGCTGTCATCCCTACCCCCACTAGCCTGGCTATTCTTAACATACCTCAAAGCCAGGTCCCTGCCATTTTCGGTCTCTCCTCACTCTCTAATAGAAGCAGAGGTAGAGATCCCTACTTCATTTTATAACTAGGATAGCTTGGATTTTTTCTCTGTTTAAAAACTTTTTTTACACCATGGCTGGTGTGGCTCAGTTGGTTGGGCCTTGTCTCACAAAGTGGAGGGTTGCCAGTTCGATTCCTGGTCAGGGCACATGCCTGGATTTCAGGTTCAGTCCCCTGTCAGGGCATGTGTGAGAGACAGCTGATTGATTTTTCTCTCCCTCTCTTTCGCTTCCTCTCTTTCTCTCTCCCTTTCCCTCTCTAAAAATAAATAAAATCTTAATTTTTTTTACTTGGCATAAGAATGATTTAATCACAAGACAAGAATTTGGCAACTAGACAAAAACCAAATAATTCTTGGCCGCTTCACACTAAAATAAGCACTGTTAACATTTTAAAGTGTTTCTCCCACTCTCTTCTCTGTGTGTATTATTTACATAGTTCTAATCTTGAGAAGGTAGGACTTTAGAAGGAATTTTCCAAAGAAACTTGAGGGAAAGTGGAATTAAAATAAACACTGGAAATGGAAGGAGCGTGCAGGGCAGCACTGCCTCCTGCTCTTAGTAAGCACAAGCTTACCCTTGGGTGTTCTCAGGAGGTAGGGCTTCCCAGTCGAAGCGTCCTCCCTCACCATGGGGCTGGGTGGCGTCAAGCCGGCCTGAACCCGGCTTGGCCATGCTGTCAGCTCATGTGCTCTGCTCTGGCTATGGGCTTCTGTCATAATCTGGATTCTCTCTGAGCCCAGGGGTGAAAAATTCTCCTGTAAAATTGGTCCCTAGACATTCCTCTTGAGCTCCTCATCAGCCTGTGCTACTGGCCCTCAGACTATACTTTCTACACTTTTTTTTAAAGATTTATTTCATTTTATTTTTAGAGGGGAAGGGAGAGAGAGGGGGAAAGAAACATCAGTGTGTGGTTGCCTCTTGTGCACCTACTACTGGGGACCTGGCCCACAACCCAGGCATGTGCCCTGACTGGGAATTGAACCAGCGACACTTTGCTTTGCAGGCTGGAGCTCAGTCCACAGAGCCACACCAGCCAGGGCTTACTTGCTATACTTTCTGGAGCTGGCCCCTAAAATTGTGCCTTTTGCCTTCGTCAGTGCTCTCTGTCTAGTTCTATTGGCACAGAATATATTCAGTAACTGGCTTTCCTCTGGCAACTGCCATCTTCCTAGAATCCTGTCTGTCTCTACCTTATCCTGAAACACTTCTCTCTCCAAGCCCAGACTCTGCTACTCCTGGACAAGGGACACACCTGGCCATTAGAGTGATTTTCAGAACACCGGAAAGCAATAATTCTCTCTGCATGTGTGGCCTTGTTACTCTGACTTAGTGGTTCTCAAAATGTGTTCCCTGGATCTGCAGCCTTAGCATCACCTGGGAGCTTGTTAGTCATGCAAATTATTGGATTCCTTCCCCAGATCTACTGAATCAGAAGCTCTGGGGGTGGAGCCCAGTAACCTGTGTTGTAACAAGCCCTCAACAAGCCTTAGGGTCCTGATGTGCCCTAAGCCTGAGGACCACCAACTTAAGGAATGTTGCTATTTTGCAAAATGTTAGCTTCTCCATGAATGTAAGAGAAAGCATGAGGAAACAGAAAAAGCTTTAGGTATTCCTTGTCTGGGTGTGTTCTGCAGCCTGGAAACCAAAGCTATGCCCAGTTTTCATTGAAACACAAGATCTTGCAGCCTCAGAAAAGTTTGTCTTGAGTCTAGTCTGAAGAGAGGGATGAAGGTGAAGTAAACTCCAAGGACCAACCAAGGTGGAGTCCACCACTAGAGCCACAAGGTTGATTTTGAGAACAGAGTTAGAAACTAACCAAAGACAGTCAGTGAAGCAGCCAAGCTTTTACTAAGGGGCAAAGTCAGCTGCCAGCATCTGGCTAGAGAGCCTGCCTCAGAGCAGCCAGATGTGGTGACAGTGGGATTATCAAGGAATTGTTCCAGAGTATCTCAGGAGGGACCTAAGGGGTGTCTAAAAGGTTCATGTAGATGATCTGAGATGGTGGGAGATGATGGGAGAAGGAGACCTTAGGATGGGCTTATCTCGCTGAAAGGACCAGGCATCAGGGAGCACCCAAGGTGCGCGCGCACGTGTGTGTGTGTGTGTGTGTGTTGGGGGGAATAAAGGGTGAAAGAGTTAAGTCATGGGAGGTATGAGGATTTCATGCATCTTGAGTTGAGGTCAACCAAGGCCTATTAGACTGGGGTGTCCTGGGGCAGGGTGAGCAGGAGTAGGATGAAGGTACTATGTGCCCAGGGTAACTTTTCAGCCAAGAAAACCCTGACAATGCTTTATTCATCCTCAACCCAGAAATCCATTATGTGGCCTCTCATCTGGTTTTGTGCTTTGCTGTTTACTTGTTGTTCCCCCACCAGCTCTGGTTTTAGGAGAAAACCTGAAATGTCCAGTCCTCCTCGGCTGGACGGGGGGCGTCCCCATGGTGGCCCACCACAGTGCAGTGCAGCTGAGCATGCTCGTTGCGTGGGCAGCCCAGTGAGCACGGGGCTGGGGGCTGCTCCCAGGCATCAGTTCCTTCTGTCCCTGTGGCTGCACTCCAGAGAGGCCCTGCCTGGAGCTGGGGCCAGCAGCTTTTCTGTGAGGTCACCACGGATAGTCCTCACACCTCCAATGCACACTTGGAGGGGGGTTGTTTTCTCACGTACTATACAGAGATTTGGGCGGGGTCTGATAAAATTTAAGACACAGCCACACCATTAGCTACTATAGCATGAGCTGTCTGAGGACAGAGACCGTAGCTTTTATTTTTGTGTCTCAATGCCCAGCATGATGCCAGATACAAAACTGGGAAACATACTTGTGGAGCTCTGAACAGATGGGCGTTGTTGTTGAGGGGCCTACAACTCTGCTGAAGAGACAAGAAAAATGCCTGAAGGGAAATGTCATGACAGGGTGACACCCACATTAGACAGCAGGGCAGATGTCTGTGGGGAGGCTCGGGCTGGGGCAGATGCTTTAAGGAGGAAGTAAGACTTGAAAGGGCATCCCTCATCTCCTTCCTCTGTCCTAACAGGCGTGAGCTTGGGAGAAGCCTTGGACCACCAGGAAGCCAGGGTTGCAGGGAAAGCCAGACTCCTGGGTGTCGGGTAGGATTCTGGCAGACAGCTGATGACCAGGCTAAAAGGTAGTGCCCAAGAGAGGGGACTCCGAGGTCACATTGTCGGGGATTCAGTGAGGTCATACACATAAACTCCCTTAAACAGTGGCTGGCATAGAGAGAGTGTTCTATGCTCTCTCTGTGCACGTGTTTGCTGCTCCCCAGCTGCACCAGGTCACCCTCTGCACGGTCCCAGGCTGACACCACCTGGAATTGGAGCTGGGGGTGCTGAGCGGTAGGGGCAGAACACCAGCCCTGACCTACCCAGTGCTCTCTCTCTCTCTTGCAGACAGAGGGGGCAAGCCCCCCATTCACCGCACGGGTGCCAAGCTCTGCTTCAGCCTATGACCAGAGAGGACTGGCCCCCGGTCAGGAGTACCAGGTCACTGTCCGTGCCCTTCGAGGGACTAACTGGGGCCCTCCTGTCTCCAAGACCATCACCACCAGTGAGAGCAGGGGCTGTGGGGTGGATCCTAAGTGGAAATCTGGATATAAGAGAGGCAGCTGGGAATCTGCCCTCCAGGAGGGCAGAAGGGAGGGTTTGGGTGGGGCAAGGAAAGCTGGTGACTGAAAAACCAGACTTCCACCTGATCCATCCTTTCTCTAACCTGGCTAGTGATCGATGGCCCCCAGGACCTCCGGGTGGTGGCCGTGACTCCAACCACACTGGAGCTCAGCTGGCTGCGCCCCCAGGCCGAGGTGGACCGATTCGTGGTGTCCTACGTCACTGCTGGCAACCAGAGGGTGCGGCTGGAAGTGCCAGCCGAGGCAGACGGAACACTGCTGACTGACCTGATGCCGGGTGTAGAATACGTGGTGACTGTCACTGCGGAGCGGGGCCGGGCAGTAAGCTACCCAGCGTCTGTCAGGGCTAACACAGGTATGCTAGCCAGGGGTTGGGGAAAGGCCTGGTTTCCAAGTGTAGGAGCCCGTTCCATGGGGGCCCACGTGGGATCCACAGGCTCCTCCAAACGCACTTGGCAGGGTGGGTGGCGCTCCCAAAGCACCTGCTGGGGGCCTTGCTCTGTACCAAAGGCACCAGGGAGACAGCTTTCAGGCACTCGAGTCCTATAGGAAGCCTATGGGCTGGAGTATGGGAGGAGCTGCCCATGAAGAGAGTAGTGAATAAGAGGTGCTGGCGATGCCCGTAGATGGGGAACAGCCCTCGTGCTCAGTCGGTGGTCTGATCTTGTAGGGACTGGAATTAGGCAGACCAGACACCAGCACTCCTGTTGACTTTAGGATTGAGATTTGGGGAGTTAGGTCTCATGGCAGTAATTTTCCACTAACCTCAAGGTCTCTTGACAGATGCCTGGATCTTTCTTTTCTTTTCCTCTGACCGAGGGACCCCCCCTCCCCCCACTTTGCTGTAGCTCACATTCTCCCCTCCCACTCCCTTTTCTCTCCTTCAGACACAGGGCCCAGCCCGCTGGCTTCCCTTTTCTTTCTAGGGCACCAACAATGCTGCGCTTGGAGGGCGAGGGGTGAGGGGCTTCTGGGACAATGACTCCTTTTTCTCTGTTCTCTTTCCAGGTGGGAGTGGGGCACAGAGATGAGGCCTCTGACTCTGGTGGGAGGGACGGATGGAGGGAGGCAATGCCTGGGAGGAGCGCAGCGATGGTGCGAGCGGCTACCACTGATCGGCTCTCTTCATCCCCTTTTTGCCCCCCTACTCCAGCACCAGGCCACTACAGTTACCCGGAGGTGCGCCCCCCAGCCCCGCCCCCCAAACCCCGGCCTCGGCCTCGGCCAGCTCCGGCTCCGCAGCCCCCTAGGCCGGCTAGGCTCCCTCGACCGGCAGAGGGGCAAGAGGAGCCTCGGCCTGGGCCTAGCCTGCCCCAGCCCCCTCGGCGGCCGTGGGGCAACCTGACAGCGGAGTTGGGCCGCTTCCGCGGCACGGTGCAGGACCTGGAGCGCCACCTGCGGGCTCACAACTACCCACTGAGGGCCAACCAGACCTACACCTCCGTGGCGCGCCACATCCACGAATACTTGCAGCGGCGTCTGGCGGCCTCTGCCCCCACCAGCTCTGCACCCCCTCCCCGTCAGCTGTACCCCACCGCCAGCCCCGACTCTGGCACCTGGAAACGGGACTCCAACCAGGGCATCTATAGCCTCTTACCCGAAGGCGTCGATGGGATGGCTGTGCCCCGTCACCCCAAGCCCGAGGTGCTAGGCAGTTCCGCCAATGGCTCACTACTCGTGTCCCTCGATGGGCTCCGCGGCCACTTTGAACGAGTGGTGCTGCGCTGGCAGCCCCAGCCACCTGCAGACGCCCCCGGCGGGGAGCTGACTGTGCCTGGCACCACGCGCACCGTAACTCTGCCTGACCTCAGGCCAGCCACCACCTATCATGTGGAGGTCCACGGGGTGCGGGCAGGGCAGACCTCCAAGTCCTACGCCTTCATCACCACCACAGGTAGCGTGGGCTGGGGCTCAGGAACACCCCTCCCCTGCCCAGGCTCACCCTCCTGTGGAGTCTGCATCCCTCAGGTCCTCCCACTGCTCGCCCCATCACACCCTTCTGCCTTCAAGTCCTACCTGGTCCAGGCTCCAGAGGTCCCCATAGCAAAGCGCAGCTCTCCTGGGCTCTGGCAGATAGATATACAAGGCCCAGGAGAACAAGTCTTTGGGGTCCCTTGGTTTTCTCTTGGGTTCTCAAGGCACTTCTGCTGGGATGGCTGTTCTGGGCCATAGAAGGGGCACTTGGTGAGCGGGGAGGGAGTGCAGACTCACTAGAGCGGTGGGGTGGGGGGGGGGGTGGGGCAGGAGTGACTGACGCCACAGGTTCCCAGCTCTGACTCACTGGGGTAAGGGTGGCTGAAGACTGTGGTCAGTGGTTACTACTTTCTGTGATTTGGCCTTGACCTCAAAGGGACACAGTGAAACTGCTTGGGGAGCCTTGAAGCCATCAGCAGCATGTGTGTGTGTGAGGGGAATCCACTGCTTCCTGAGCCACCTTTCAGATCTCCTGGCTCACTCGTGCCGGTCTCTCCCACAGCAGCAACATCGGGGTCAGGGAAGGGGCGTTCTGTGGTGACCACGGGGAGGGTCGTGGATGTCTTCTTCACCCATAGGGACCAGATGCCACCTGAGCTGGATGCTAACCCCCTCCTCTCACTACCTGCTCTCCTCTCACACCCTCCTTCCCTAACACCACTTTCTCCCCCTTTATTCCAGGCTTCTCACTGCAGCACTAATGGGAGCCACGACCACCACCCCGTGGGGAGGGGCATGCCTGTGGGGAGGGATTGGAAGTCTGTGGGGCCGGAGGTCATGGGAGTCTTGTGGGGGAGGGATGGCAGGCTTTATTTCTTTTATCATCTGCAGGCCTGTCTGTTCAGGTGAGGTGCACAGAGGTACTTGGAGGGCCAGGCTGACATCTGGGAGGACGAGGTGGCCCAGGGAATATGTGCAAACTCTTAAAGGCTAGAAGGCAGAGCCTGTGGGCCGGGGTTCCTTCCAGGTTCTCACACTGGACTCCCCTGTTTTTCTTGCCCTGCCATTCCCAGGATCCTCCCCCTCGGGCTTCTTGGGAGCCACCGATGAGCCTTCCCCTTCAGGCCCTTCAACAACTCAAGGGGTGCAGGCCCCTGCCCTGCAGCAGCGCCCCCAGGAGCTGGGGGAGCTGAGGGTACTAGGCAAAGACAAAACTGGTCGCCTCCACGTAGCCTGGACGGCCCAGCCCGAAGCCTTCACCCACTTCCAGCTGCGCCTCTGGGTGCCCGATGCTCCAGGGGCACATGACGAACTGCTGCCAGGGGACGTCCGCCAGGCACTGGTGCCCTCACCCCCTCCTGGAGCCCCCTATGTGCTGTCACTTCATGGGGTTCCTCCTGAGGGCAAGCCCTCTGCTCCTCTCATCTATCAAGGCATTATGGGTACATCCTGGCTTCTGCTCAGACCAGAGTCCTGAGGTCGGGGGAGGGGCTGGGCCACTGCAGAAGTAGGACAGGGTAGAAGGGCAGGGCTGTGTCTGGGTCGAAGTGCTGGGAGAAAACAAGGAGAGGAAAGGAGCTGAGGGTTCATAGGCAAGAGGGATGGGGGTGGAGTCGGAGAATGATGACAGGGTGGGCCAGGAAGGGGAGTAGCTCCCTGAAAAGAAGATGAGAGAAGTCAGAGTGGGACAGGGAGTCTTTCCTTTCTGTGCTCTGTGTCCTATACCTTCATATCCTGGCCACTCCTCTGCCCCGCCCCGCCCCACCCCATGCACCTCTCAGGGTGGTTGTGGGGAGGCCTCTGGCCCTGATGATACTTACCCCCCTCCCCTTCCCTTCCCCACAGTCCCTCCCATCCTGCCTCACTGGGCAGGCTAGGGCAGTGGCACTGCTCCCACCTGGAGAGCCTGGCCTGCCATGGACAGGACCCCACGGCTCCATCAGCCACTTTCTTCTGGGGGTGGAGGTTCCCTGGGGCGGGGAGCACCACAGCCAGCAGGACTTCAGAGTTGGGTGAGGTGTCCAGAGCCAGTGAAGGACAGGGCCTGGGGCTGGGGTGCCTGGCGCTCACATTCCCTCTTCATCCCTGCTTATGGGACCAGGAAAGCTGACTCTTCCTACAACTCCAGGTCAGGCTCACAACTGAGAGAGACGGAGATAAGGAAGAGAAAAGTTCAGGTGGACTGAGAAGTCTTCAGATTGCTTTACAGCAGCAGTGGGGGGTTTTAAAACTCCTGGGAAGAACCATGGGGGACCTGAAAGTTCCCCATGAACCCTGGTGTGGAGAGGGACTGGGACTTTTGTGAGGGGTAGTAGGGGCCAAAACTCTGACTCCAGAACAGAAGTTGTGGGGGAAATCCCCTGCCCAGGAAGGCTGGTCACAGAGGTCTTAGGGCTGGGGAGATGGAGTCAGTCTTCGAGGGAGAGAGGGAGCTGTCCAGGCTAGAGGAAGCCAGTGTGCAGAGGGGAGGAAAGGAGATGAGGACAAGGCCTTGGCTGACTGCCTGCTTTGCTCTTACTCCCTTCCCCCTACTGCAGACAGGGACGGGGGAAAGCCTGGGAAGCCCTTGGCCCCACCACGCCTGGGCGAGCTGACAGTGACAGATGTGACCTCCAGCTCCCTGCTCCTGCACTGGACTGTCCCTGAGGGCGAGTTCGACTCCTTCACAATCCAGTACAAAGACAGGGATGGGCCCCACATGGTGCCTGTGGAGGGGCCCCAGCGCTCGGCCCTCATCACCAACCTGGACATGGGCCGCAAGTACAAATTCGCCCTGTATGGGTTTGTGGGCAAGAAGAAGCATGGCCCCCTGGTGGCTGAAGTCAAGATCTGTAAGTGAAAGCATCACACCCATCACTGGCCCCTGCCCCTGCCCTCTGCATGGTCCTCAAGGAGGTCTTTCCAGTGCTTTGGGAACTCCAGGAGAGCTTCCTGGAGGCAGGGGCCCCTGAGATGAATCCTGAAGGGAAAACAGTGGTGAGTCGGGCAGAGGATGAGGAGGGCAGCACAGACAGACCCGTAGAGAGCAGAGGGCAGGAGTGTGTGTGACTCTGTAGGAGCATCCATGTCTGTTTCCTCCTGCCAGACAGCAGCGTGCCTGGGCAGCTGAGGGACTGGTCTCATGAGTCTGACAGGAGCTTGGACCTCATTTGAGGGCTCTTGGGGGGTGCCTCTGAGGGGTTTTAAGTGGGGAGAGACATGATTCTGTATTTATCTTACAAATTACACCAAGGCTGCTGTGGAGGATAGCTAGGGAAGTGAGTTAAGTTTGGGGTGGTGGCAGTGAGTCTGGATGTGGGGGGTGAAGGACAGTGCTGGACCCAGGCAGCCCACATTTCTGAATCCAACAGCCCCGTCCCAGAGACAAGGAGCAGCAGAGATGAGGAACAATGCAGCGAGATACGTAGTAAACATCTTTTGAGCATCTGTTGAGGTCAGGTGTGTTCCGGGATGTTCCAGGTGTGTCATCACACCCAACCCTTACAGCAGCCCTGGGAGGCGTGCCCGAGCGGTAGATGTGGAGGGTCAAGGCGCAGAGCGGTCACTCAGGCAGAAAGTGATGGGCCCTGGGGTTGCACTGCTGTCTCCACGGTGTGGAGAGCAGAGGGGAGGCCTGGAGAGGGTCGGGGGTCATCAGTGCCAGCAGATAGGAGTGCGGGTGAGCCTGTGGGAGCGCTGGGGATGGCCAACACCCAGGGCACTTGCAGAGGGAGAAGAGCCCGCAGGGTAGCATGAAGCATACTTGCAAATAGGAGCAGAGTCCCAGAGAGTGCTGTCCTGAATGCCAAAATGAAGGGCATGGTCGGGCACATCAGATTCCGTGAGAGTGATTCAGCACTGCAGTGTCCACAGGACTTGGCAATGTGAGCTCCCCACTGCCCTGGTGAGAGCTGCCGTGGAGTGTGAGGGACGTGAGGGCATGGCTATAACCCGTGTAGACATCTCTCTCTGGAGTCTGGACTGGAATAGAGAGCAGAGAGGGAGGTTGGGGGGTGGAGGGAGATACAGCGGAGTGGAGGAGGGCGGGAGAGGAGGATGTGGGGCCCAGGGCACAGGTCGAGCCTCCCACACCAATTCACTCTAAGTATGGTGCTCCCCTCTCTCAGAGGAGAAACCAGCTGGCATTAAGCCTGAAGCAATGCAGGTTACTTTGGAACACTTCCCTGGCCGCCATGGAGATGTGGAAAGGGCTGGCTTGGCTCCCTTGTCTCTGAGGCCCCCTCCCCAGGCTGGGGATAGAGTAAGGACCATACCAGTCTACACATTTAGAAGAAGGTGCCCTGCCTGTAGGTGGGCATAGCCCATCGCCAGGGTATGCAGCAGAGTCTCACTCTTGGCAAGCAGAGTACTGGCTGGAAACTCTCTTAGTGCTCCTTCTGTGTACCTTTGTGCAGTAAACAACTTGCACAACCTCCCACAGCATCCCTGCATGGGAGGTGGATGTACCTTTGTCCCCTTCCTTCTCTCCTAGTGCCTCCGAGTGATCCCAGCCTAGTGACACCACCCCGTCTCGGAACACTATGGGTGACAGATCCCACCCCAGACTCACTGCACCTCTCCTGGACAGTCCCTGAAGGCCAGTTCGATTCCTTCATGGTCCAATACAGGGACAGGGATGGACAGCCCCAGGTGGTGCCCGTGGAGGGACCTGAGCGCTCGGTCACTATCTCTCCACTGGACCCTGACCACAAGTACAGATTCACTCTGTTTGGCATCGCCAACAAGAAGCGGCATGGCCCCCTCACGGCTGATGGCAGCACTGGTGAGTGGCAGCCACCTAAGCCCCCGTGTAACCCCTCCCAGCCTTCCAAACACTTGCCCTTAGCCAGGAACAGGCTGGGCTTCCCAGTGAGAAGGCTGACTCTAGATCCTGGTCCCGCTCCCAGACTGAGGGGCAGCCAGCCCACCTTGCACTGCTGGGCCCTGTCCAACCCTTTCAGCTGCTCCCCAAGCCCCAGCGGTGTGTCCTACCCTGGCGGTGCCAGACATCCCAGGAGTTCAGCACTCACACTAACCCAGTATGGCTCTCTAGGTGTGACAGCCCGTCCCTACCCCGAGCCCCAATCCCAGGCGGCTAGTTCAGGCCTGGCCAGATCCTCTTATTTACAGCTCCAGAGAAGACAGAAGAGCCCCACCACCCAGAGCCCCCCGAGCAGCCACTACTGGGGGAACTGACAGCGACTTCCGTGACCCCAGACTCGCTGCGCCTATCCTGGACAGTGGCCCAGGGCACCTTTGACTCCTTTGTGGTCCAGTACAAGGATGCACAGGGGCAGCCCCAGGCAGTGTCGGTCAAGGGAGATGAGAACACGGTCACTGTCCCTGGCCTGGAATCTGACTGGAAATATAAAATGAACCTCTACGGCTTTCATGGCCGGCGGCGTGTGGGGCCTGTGTCCACCGTGGTCACCACCGGTGAGTCAGGGCCACAGGGCCCCCTTCCCTGTCAGCCCCCAGTCCTCTGGGTGGGACCTGGGCTCCTGTGCACCTCCTCGCACCTTCTTTTTCTTGGCTCCAGTGCTGCCAAAGCCTCCACCCTCGTTTTCCCCGAGTCCCAGGACTTCTCTCCCAGCCATCAGCCACAGCCTTTGTCCCGGCCCTGCTTCTGCATCTCCAAGAGCAGCCCCCATTCCCGCAAACAGAGCACCTGCAACCATCCCTCCACCCCGGCTGTCCTGCACCTGTCCTGCCTGCACTGTCCTCAGCCACTATGTTCTTTCCTCGTGGTTTGTACTGCGCTTCACCTTCCATGACCTGGCTTCGGTCACGGTCATTTCCGAGCTTCAGAGCACTGTGTTTCCCTAGCCCTGTCCAGCATGAAGAGGATTCCTCTGAGCCCCCGACTCCCTGACTCCCAGCCAGCTTGAAGTAGGGAAAAGGGCTACTTCCAGCACCTTCCAGGATGTCCCACGTGTCCAGCCTCCCCAGCCAGCCCCATCTCCGTGGCTGTGTAACCGCAGGGTTGGGAGCGTGGCTCCAGATCCAACTGCCTAGATTTTTATCCCAGCTCTCCCATGTGTGACTGTGCGTGTCTCAGCTTTCTCATCTGTCAAATGGGGGTAATAATGGTAACTGCTTCACTCAGTTGTCAGAGCACACACAGCACTCAGGACACTGCCTGTCAACATTGACACCGCTGTCTCAGTGTGAGCTGCTATTTCTCCCTGACTGTCTTGCTTCCCAGTATCCTTTCTCCTTCTCTTTTTTTTTAACAGATTTTTTTTAAATACTGTCCTTGCTTTTTTTTAAAGATTTTTAAAAAAGATTTTATTTATTTATATTTAGAGAGGGAAGGGAGGGAGAAAGAGAGAGAGAGAGAAACATCAATGTGCAATTGCTGGGGGCTGTGGCCTGCAACCCAGCTATGTGCCCTGACTGGGAATCGAACCGATACTTTGGTTCGCAGCCCGTGCTCAATCCACTGAGCTATGCCAGCCGGGGCTCCTTTTTCCCTCTTCACATCCTCCCTACCTTCCCCATCCTCAGCTGGGTTATCATTCTTGCCTATTCCCTCCTCAATCTCCTTCCCCTAAATACTTCCCCATGGGCCTGGGAGTGGGTCAGCGAAGGGCTGGCTGGCCCTGTCCGGGCTCCCCAGGCCATGGAGCCACAGCACAGATCCAAATGCAGATAATGTGGGTAAGGGAAGTGCAGGGCCTGCCCCAGCCCCGGTCCCACCCCCAAACTGAAGCAGGGCCCACCCCACTCCCACTTTTGTCTAAAGCCTTGACTTAGTGGCTTATTCTTGAGGGATAAGGTGGGGTGAACATGGGAAGCCCTGGCGGGGGCGGGGAGGGCAGAGGCAGAAAGAGAGGTGCAGATGGGAAGAGGCTACACTGTCCTTCACAACCTGAGGTCAACACTGGCAGTGACCATGGTAGACAGCACCTAAGAGGTTCCATCTTCCCATCTCAGCTCCTTCCTCAGGCAGAAGGGGAGACCCCAGTCCACAGAGCCCACTAGTACAGTTGGCTAGCACGGCATGGTGGAACCAGGCCCCACTCAGTCGTATCTTTCATGACCACCCACTCAATGGCTAACATAGAGGCCCCACAAACCAGCAATTTCAGGAATATATTTACTGAATATAAATGATTGCCATATGTAACATCACCACCAAAGCAAGTCACCCTTTAAGCCATTATCCCAATCCATCTCTCAGCCCATCAGGAAGTTGCGGAGGAGGCCCTGAGGCCCACAGAACCCAGCATGGAGGCCCCAGCACCCGCCAAGGAGCCCCTCCTAGGGGAGCTGACTGTGACAGAATCCTCCCCGGAATCGCTGAGCCTGTCCTGGACTGTCCCCGAAGGCCAGTTCGACCACTTCCTGGTCCAGTACAAGAACGGGGACGGGCAGCCCAAGGTGGTGCGGGTGCCAGGGCACGAGGACGGGGTCACCATCTCGGGCCTGGAGCCAGACCACAAGTACAAGATGAACCTGTATGGTTTCCACGACGGCCAGCGCCAGGGCCCCATCTCTGCCATCGGGGTGACCGGTGAGTGGACTGTGGGCTCCCCAGGGAGGGAGCCTGCAGGGTAATCACACTCCACGATGGGTGGGTGGGGTGCAGGGGCCCCTCTGCTTGAGGCTGAGCCATGGTGCCCTCGGTGCCTCCCCCTGGGCTCCCCAAGGACCAGCGCATCCCCCTGGGCAGAGAAAGGCCTCTGTGAGCTGTGCTGGTGGCTGCCCTGCTTCCCCACAGCTGACCCCGAGGGTCTGGGCATGTTTGTGACGTTGGGCTGAGCAGGACCTCCCAGCCCCCAGGAGGGACTCCTCTGCAGTGACCTCAGGGTCCAGTCATGACCACAGCCTGGGAGAAGACTGAGGACATCTCCATGGACCCTGCCTCACCCTCCCTCTGTCTGTCCTTCTCAGCTGCCGAGGAAGAGACCCCCAGCCCCACAGAACCCGGCACAGAGGCCCCAGAGCCCCCTGAGGAGCCCCTCCTGGGGGAGCTGACAGTGACAGAATCCTCCCCAGACTCGCTGAGCCTCTCCTGGACCATCCCCCAGGGCCACTTTGACTCCTTCACCGTCCAGTACAAGGACAGGGACGGGCGGCCCCAGGTGGTGCGTGTCGGGGGTGAGGAGAGAGAGGTCACTGTGCAGGGCCTGGAGCCGGGGCGCAAGTACAAGATGCACCTGTATGGCCTGCACAGGGGACAGCGTGTGGGCCCCGTGTCCACTGTGGGCCTGACAGGTGAGTGGGGGCAGGGCAGGCAGGGTGGTGAGGACCGGCCCTGGAAAACTTTCCCTTTATTACCATCTGTGGTAATAAAGAAAACATCAGTGTGCCCACTTGCCCGCCCTCTTTTGCGCATCGGTGGCCTGACGGTCTTGGTGAAGGGCAGATCTTTCAGCAGATCAGGCTGGGGCCAGAGATCCCGCATCCCTAAGGTTCTCTGGGCTGCTGCTGCTGCTGCTGCGGCTGCTGTGAGGACCACACTTGGGTAGCATCTGCTCACAACCAAGGGGTCAACTCTTTCCCAGAATCTGTGGGAGGGAATCGTGCTGGCACCCCTGGGGTATCCTAGAGACGCAGCGTCTGTGGCATGACTGGAGGCTGTGACGGAGGGTGGGAGGTGCTCAGAAAGCAGCATCCTGTCTGCAGCGCCCCAGCCTCATGGTTCGGACATTCCCAGACCTCTGACTGTAATGGGCCAGCTAAGATGGGGGCATCCTGAGCCAAGTGCTGTGGGAATTCACAGGGCTCAGCCTTGAACTTGGACGAGAGACAAGGCCTTATACTAAGGGGGCTGACGGTCAGGGAAGACAGGCTGTGAACCAGCAAATCAGACAGAGGAGGACAGGGATATGACAGAGAGTCCCGGGGCACTGAGACCTCAGCCAGCCTGTCCACAGGCGCCCACGGGACGGCTGATACCTGAGGTCAGGCAGGTGTTAGTGTGGTGACAGTGCGTGGGATGACTAGTGTGTCGGATGAACAATGTCAGAGCCGGGGCAAAGGCCCGGGAACTTGGAACACTGGGGCACACGAGAGCATCTTGGATGAAGTGCTCTGAGTAGGGGGTGGTGTTGAGATGGGGGTGGTGTTGAGATGGGGGTGGAGAGGGGAGGGCAGCTCAGGAAGCAGGGACTCCTCGGGGGCTTCAGAGGGTTGTGCACAGTTTCAAGTTGGACCGATTCCATCAGTTGTGCACTTAATGTCCCGTTCTGGTCCCCTGTGCGGAGGGGACGGGAAGCAGGCAGAGACACCAGGTGAGAGGTGAGGGTGGCCCTAAGCAGGAAGGTTGGGCTGCAGGTGTGGAGAGTGAGGAGATGTGACAGGAACTTTAGAAAGACTGGGACACTCAGAGTCGATGGCAGCTGAGGACAGGGACAGAACCAGGCCGACTGCTGGTTTCCTGTGGGGAGCGCCTCTGAGCTGCTCAGGGGCAAAGCCATGAGCCAGAGGGAGCGAGATGCCAACGAGACCCCAGTGCAGGGAGCCCAGGGCGCGGTGGCCACACAGACCTGTGTTCCAAGGAGAGGCAGGAGCAGGAGGAGAGGGAGAGCCACAGGGGTGTTGGTGGGTGGTGGGTGAGGCAAGGTGGGGGGTGTGTGACAATGAGGAAGGAGACATTAAGGGACCAGAAAGAGTCATAGCAAGAGCCACTGTGGACGGCCAGAGTCTGTTCCTTGTTCTCTTATTTTTACAATAGACCCTGATAGGCTGAACTGAGGACTGAAGAGACCTCACCTGTCTCCCATGTCTCTGTCCAGCTCGCCCTGCTCCAGATCACGAACCTGGGACCACCCAAGTTCCTGCCACCACGACCCCCGAGCCTCCCATCAAGCCCCTCCTGGGGGAGCTGACTGTGACTGAAGCCACCGTGGACTCTCTGAGCCTGTCCTGGACTGTCCCCGAAGGCCAGTTCGACCACTTCCTGGTCCAGTACAAGAACGGGGACGGGCAGCCCAAGGTGGTGCAGGTGCCAGGGCACGAGGACGGGGTCACCATCTCGGGCCTGGAGCCAGACCACAAGTACAAGATGAACCTGTATGGCTTCCACGATGGCCAGCGCCAGGGCCCCATCTCTGCCATCGGGGTGACGGGTGAGTGGACGGTGGGCGCCCCAGGGAGGGAGCCTGCAGGGGCATCACACTCCACGATGGGTGGGCGGGGTGCGGGGGGGCCCCTCTGCTTGAGGCTGAGCCATGGTGCCCTCAGTGCCTCCCCCTGGGCTCCCCGAGGACCAGCGCATCCCCCTGGGCAGAGAAAGGCCTCTGTGAGCTGTGCTGGTGGCTGCCCTGCTTCCCCACAGCTGACCCCGAGGGTCTGGGCATGTTTGTGAGATTGGGCTGAGCAGGACCTCCCAGCCCCCAGGAGGGACTCCTCTGCAGTGACCTCAGGGTCCAGTCATGACCACAGCCTGGGAGAAGACTGAGGACATCTCCATGGACCCTGCCTCACCCTCCCTCTGTCTGTCCTTCTCAGCTGCCGAGGAAGAGACCCCCAGCCCCACAGAACCCGGCACAGAGGCCCCAGAGCCCCCCTGAGGAGCCCCTCCTGGGGGAGCTGACAGTGACAGAATCCTCCCCAGACTCGCTGAGCCTCTCCTGGACCATCCCCCAGGGCCACTTTGACTCCTTCACCGTCCAGTACAAGGACAGGGACGGGCGGCCCCAGGTGGTGCGTGTTGGGGGTGAGGAGAGAGAGGTCACTGTGCAGGGCCTGGAGCCGGGGCGCAAGTACAAGATGCACCTGTATGGCCTGCACAGGGGGCAGCGTGTGGGCCCCGTGTCCTCTGTGGGCCTGACAGGTGAGTGGGGGCAGGGCAGGCAGGGTGGTGAGGACCGGCCCTGGAAAACTTTCCCTTTATTACCATCTTTGGTAATAAAGAAAACATCAGTGTGCCCACTTGCCCGCCCTCTTTGCGCATCGGTGGCCTGACGGTCTTGGTGAAGGGCAGATCTTTCAGCAGATCAGGCTGGGGCCAGAGATCCCGCATCCCTAAGGTTCTCTGGGCTGCTGCTGCTGCTGCGGCTGCTGTGAGGACCACACTTGGGTAGCATCTGCTCACAACCAAGGGGTCAACTCTTTCCCAGAATCTGTGGGAGGGAATCGTGCTGGCACCCCTGGGGTATCCTAGAGACGCAGCGTCTGTGGCATGACTGGAGGCTGTGACGGAGGGTGGGAGGTGCTCAGAAAGCAGCATCCTGTCTGCAGCGCCCCAGCCTCATGGTTCGGACATTCCCAGACCTCTGACTGTAATGGGCCAGCTAAGATGGGGGCATCCTGAGCCAAGTGCTGTGGGAGTTCACAGGGCTCAGCCTTGAACTTGGACGAGAGACAAGGCCTTATACTAAGGGGGCTGACGGTCAGGGGAAGACAGGCTGTGAACCAGCAAATCAGACAGAGGAGGACAGGGATATGACAGAGAGTCCCGGGGCACTGAGACCTCAGCCAGCCTGTCCACAGGCGCCCACGGGGACGGCTGATACCTGAGGTCAGGCAGGTGTTAGTGTGGTGACAGTGCGTGGGATGACTAGTGTGTCGGATGAACAATGTCAGAGCCGGGGCAAAGGCCCGGGAACTTGGAATACTGGGGCACATGAGAGCATCTTGGATGAAGTGCTCTGAGTAGGGGGTGGTGTTGAGATGGGGGTGGTGTTGAGATGGGGGTGGAGAGGGGAGGGCAGCTCAGGAAGCAGGGACTCCTCGGGGGGCTTCAGAGGGTTGTGCACAGTTTCAAGTTGGACCGATTCCATCAGTTGTGCACTTAATGTCCCGTTCTGGTCCCCTGTGCGGAGGGGACGGGAAGCAGGCAGAGACACCAGGTGAGAGGTGAGGGTGGCCCTAAGCAGGAAGGTTGGGCTGCAGGTGTGGAGAGTGAGGAGATATGACAGGAACTTTAGAAAGACTGGGACACTCAGAGTCGATGGCAGCTGAGGACAGGGACAGAACCAGGCCGACTGCTGCTTTCCTGTGGGGAGCGCCTCTGAGCTGCTCAGGGGCAAAGCCATGAGCCAGAGGGAGCGAGATGCCAACGAGACCCCAGTGCAGCGAGCCCAGGGCGCAGTGGCCACACAGACCTGTGTTCCGAGGAGAGGCAGGAGCAGGAGGAGAGGGAGAGCCACAGGGGTGTTGGTGGGTGGTGGGTGAGGCAAGGTGGGGGGTGTGTGACAGTGAGGAAGGAGACATTAAGGGACCAGAAAGAGTCATAGCAAGAGCCACTGTGGACGGCCAGAGTCTGTTCCTTGTTCTCTTATTTTTACAATAGACCCTGATAGGCTGAACTGAGGACTGAAGAGACCTCACCTGTCTCCCATGTCTCTGTCCAGCTCGCCCTGCTCCAGATCACGAACCTGGGACCACCCAAGTTCCTGCCACCACGACCCCCGAGCCTCCCATCAAGCCCCTCCTGGGGGAGCTGACTGTGACTGAAGCCACCGTGGACTCTCTGAGCCTGTCCTGGACTGTCCCCGAAGGCCAGTTCGACCACTTCCTGGTCCAGTACAAGAACGGGGACGGGCAGCCCAAGGTGGTGCAGGTGCCAGGGCACGAGGACAGGGTCACCATCTCGGGCCTGGAGCCAGACCACAAGTACAAGATGAACCTGTATGGCTTCCACGATGGCCAGCGCCAGGGCCCCATCTCTGCCATCGGGGTGACGGGTGAGTGGACGGTGGGCGCCCCAGGGAGGGAGCCTGCAGGGGCATCACACTCCACGATGGGTGGGCGGGGGTGCGGGGGGGCCCCTCTGCTTGAGGCTGAGCCATGGTGCCCTCAGTGCCTCCCCCTGGGCTCCCCAAGGACCAGCGCGTCCCCCTGGGCAGAGAAAGGCCTCTGTGAGCTGTGCTGGTGGCTGCCCTGCTTCCCCACAGCTGACCCCGAGGGTCTGGGCATGTTTGTGACGTTTGGCTGAGCAGGACCTCCCAGCCCCCAGGAGGGACTCCTCTGCAGTGACCTCAGGGTCCAGTCATGACCTCAGGCTGGGAGAAGACTGAGGACATCTCCATGGACCCTGCCTCACCCTCCCTCTGTCTGTCCTTCTCAGCTGCTGAGGAAGAGACCCCCAGCCCCACAGAACCCAGCACAGAGGCCCCAGAGCCCCCTGAGGAGCCCCTCCTGGGGGAGCTGACAGTGACAGAATCCTCCCCAGACTCGCTGAGCCTCTCCTGGACCATCCCCCCAGGGCCACTTCGACTCCTTCACCGTCCAGTACAAGGACAGGGACGGGCGGCCCCAGGTGGTGCGTGTTGGGGGTGAGGAGAGAGCAGTCACTGTGCAGGGCCTGGAGCCGGGGCGCAAGTACAAGATGCACCTGTACGGCTTGCACGGGGGGCAGCGTGTGGGCCCCGTGTCCTCTGTGGGCTTGACAGGTGAGTGGTGGCAGGGTCTAGCTCATTCCTCCCACCAGTGCGTTATCCTCCCTGTGGTGATCTCTGACCAGCTGCTTGGTTCCCCATGGCCACCTGCTTGGGAAAGACCTAGACAGGGGAGTTCCCGTGTATGGACTACAACCAGCTGCTCAACCTTGAACAATTCTTATACTTTCTGCACCTCTGTTTCCTCACCTGTAAAATGAGGATCATAATGCCCACTGATAGAACTGGTATGAGGGCTCAGTGAGTCAGCAACGTCAAGCACTAAGGAAGGTTCGGCTCAGAAAGAACACGCTGTCGGTGTCTGGCACTGTGTGTGTTACAGGTACCCTCACTGCAGCAGGCTGCCCCAGCTTCCCAGGTGATGGGAGTGTGCGCGAGACGTGGCTCCTTCAGCAGCGCAGCTGGAAGCTCTCCACTCTCCCAGTGGGTGCCTCTGCAGCAAGGAAGAACACCCCTCCCTCCTCTTTCCCAGGCACAGGCCATCTCAGCCAGCCGTGGTGAATGGCCCAGCCTGTGCTCCTCCTCTCCGGAGCCGCAGCGCGATGGCCCGGGTCCTAGGTGACCTCTGGGACCCTCCAGCATCCTGCCCAGCTGGTCAGAGCAAGGGGGAATCTCTTTCCCCCTTAGCTCACTGAAAGAAAGACACTTTGAAGAACAGTTTTTACTGTAAGGGGAAGGAGTACAGACTTGAAAGCAGAGGAACAGATAGGTTTCCAGAGCAAAGTTTCTGTATTTCCACAAAGCCCAACCTCACTGTGACTTGGTTGGCTTAGTTTCCAGAACTTTCCACCCCTGATTTCTTTTCTTGCTTTAGTCAGCACTGAGAGTAGGAAGAGGGGAGGGCTACCCTGAGTCCTGCATGTCACAGCGGGGAGGCTCATGCCAGGCCCAGAACACGAGGCCGAGGCTTCTCCAGGGGTTACCCTCACTCCGTCTGTCTGTCCTGGGCTGCCACACGGGGCTTTACGAGGCCTCGCCGGTCCCTGGGTAAGGATGGGCTGTGTTGGGCACGGACTGTGCAGTGAGGGAAATTGGGTTCTGGAATCTGACGAGTTGAGTTCCATTACAGCTGCCCAGGTCCTAACCGTGAGGTCCAGCAACCCGGTCATTATCAGAGGAGGGCACCATGCTGACTTAGGGCCATGCCTGGCAGGAGAAGAAATGCGTGCAGCTAGTGAGAAACATTTCTAAATTGGAAAAAGTTTATGCCAGACACAGCCTTGGGGCTGCCACACCCATGGGCAGGTATAATTCCAGCTTCCCAGTTAAACCAGACCACCTCCGACAAGGCTTGATGGTGAGGGACAGGTTCTCTTTCTCATGGAAAGAAGTGCAGAGAGGGCGAAAGCGAGCAGGGAGTGGATGCTGCAGGAACTGGCAGAGCCAGGAGGCAAACAAAACGAAGCCCAGGGCCCCGCCCAGCACCTGCGCCTCACTGCTGCTCAGCAGTGGCCTCTCCCGCCCCTTTAGCTGCCCCGTCCCTGTCCTCTCCGCTCAGACTCATCGCTGTCTTCCTGAGACCTTGTCAGCAGCTTGTTCATGAAGCAGGTTTCATCTGTCTGGAACCTATTCTTCTCAGGAGCCAGAGAAATAAGCTATTGGAAACCCTATCCACCGCCCCTCACCCCTGCCAATTGCCTCTTGGGACCACCTTCCAGGTTCAGTCACTGGTGCAGTGTCTCCAGGGTCATTCTGGGCTATGGGAACCAAGAGGTCCTGAGTTTGGATTTTCCTAGCCCAGCCATGCAGAGTTTCATTAGCAAACACTGTGGAGCACCCACAGCGGGCTGGGGGCACAGCAGCGAACAGCCAGGGCTCCTGCCTGTGGAGAGAGGCACCCAACTGCACAGGCGTGTCAGTGGTACCACAGTGACAGTGCCAAGCTGGGGAGAAAAGCCAAGGCCAGTAGGTTAGTGATGGGAAGGAGGTGGGAAAGGGCCAGGCTGAGGAAAGAATGAAGGAGGACAGGACAAGCCACTGAGGTCCTTGGGGACAAGCACTCAGGGTAGAGAGAAGGTGCCTGAATGTCTGTGAACCAAGGAATGTTCTAGAATTAGGGGTGGGGGTCTGGGAGAGGAACGTGTTGGACCTTAAGGCCATCGTGCGGATTTGGCTTTCTCTCTGAGTGCGATGGACACCATGGTGGGAGCATGTCTGACTAACGTGTTAACAGTGCGGAACAGAGGGCGGGGGGCTGAGGGGGCAAGAGGGAGGCGATTTAGGGAACTGTCCTATAACCCCATGAGAGCTGGTGGTGCTTGGAGATGGTAGCAGGGCAGTTGGTGAGGACAGTCAGTTTCTGCAGGTGGCCCGCTCCTGGGCTGGGCTGGGCTGGGCTGGGGGTCAGAGAGGATGGCGTATGGTACCGGGGAGGCCGCAGTGGCCGTGCTGAGGTGGGGAGGCCAGGAGATGGCAGGTATGGGAGGAGGCCCTGAGCTGGGGTTTGGATTGCTGAATTTGAGACACTGGTGAGGTACCCAGGGAAGATGTGGAGCAGTCTGGAGGTCATCATGAAGGTGTGGACAGTAGGGCACCATCGAAGCATGGGTGGAAGCTCAGCCACTTTCCCAGGCCTCAGTGACGGCTGACCGCTCCCCTGAAGCCCAGCCTCAGGGCCTGGCGGGGACTTAGTAGAGGGCTGTTGGCCAGACAGGTGCTGCCAATGAGTTTAGTTTTACATCAGGCCCACCTCACAGGCACCGCAAAAACAACAGACATAATTACCACCAAGGGAAAGAAGGGCTTTTCCTAACAATCTCTCACAATCTCTGTCGCAGCTCCACAACCAGAAGAGACTCCTGCAGCCACCAACCCCCCGCTGGAGCCACGCCTGGGGGTCCTGACAGTGACGGGTGTGACCCCCACCTCCGTGGGCCTCGTGTGGACAGTCCCTGAGGGCCAGTTTGACTCCTTCGTGATCCAGTACAAGGATAGGGATGGGCAGCTCCGGGTCATTCCTGTGGCCATGGACCAGCACGAGGCCACTATCCCGGGGCTGGAACCCGCACGCAAATACAGGATGCATGTCTATGGGCTCCACGGCGGGCAGCGCGTGGGCCCCCTGTCTGCGGTGGCTGTGACGGGTGAGTGAGGAGTCAGGCGGTCCCTAACCCTAGCTATTCAGAGTCCCCACCCACAACCTCTCCTGCCTTGGCGGCCTCTGCAGGTTTTCCTGGGGTCACAGCATCTTAGTCTCTTCCCTGACCCCTTGGCTCCTCCCCCAGGCTGGAACCTTCCCTGCCCTCCAGCCCCATCTCCACTCTGCCCCTCCCCCAGGCCAGAATGTCTTCCTCTCACCTGACCCAAATCCGGTGCTGAGGTTCTCCCTCTCTGACTGTCCACAGTTGTTTCTTCCCTTCTCTTTATAAGCTTCTGTGACCTGGACATGGCTACCACCTCCCCTGCTGGCCTATTCTGTTGGGGTTAAGTGGCACACACCCCTTGAATTCCTTGTCAGGCACACGGGCACCTCTGGAAGCTCGCTCTCGGCCTCCAGGGCTTCACTGCCTCCTGGTCACAGGCTCCCACAGCTGCTTTTCCATGGTGTCTGGTGAAAAGCATGGATGCCCTTCAGGGCGATGCTTCTAAATCTAGGAAATGAAATGCATAGCATTACAAGGGAAGTCAATTATATTGATATACAGTTCATCAAAATATTTTAAAATTCAAGTTTAACACAGGACCTTCTTGATTCGTTCATTAAATAACAAGACTTAGTGTCACATTTGGGAGCAGTGGTGAGTGTAACCCATACTGTGAAGTCCCTGCAGTGCCTCTGAGTTGATGTGAAAACATCTGTGGTTCCTGTTGGTGACAGGGTCACAGGCACTGCTGGTGCACTGTGGCTGGTTTCCCGTGTGCATCGTCAAAGGGAACGCTGCATTTCAGTTAGCGGTCAGTGGAAAATAAAGATGCGACTGTCTCCCATCTCAGGTCGAGGCTCCTGAGGTCCTGGGAGCCCAGAGCCCTGTGGGGAGAGCTGTCCCTCCAGAAACCTCAGCCCTGTTCTTTGTCCCCCATCCCAGTGCCCCTCCCAGCAGCCCCAGCCACAGAGTCCCCCCAGGAGCCACACCTGGGGGCACTAACAGTGATAGATGTGACTCCTGACCTGACTCTGTGGGCCTCTCATGGGTGGTCCCTCGAATTTGACTCCCTCGTGGCCGGGGGACAAGGACAGGGACAGGCAGCCCCAGGTGGTGTCTGTGGCCACAGACCAGCTGGAGGTCACCGTCAGTGGCCTAGAGCCCAACAGGAAGTACAAGTTCCTGCCCTTTGGGATCCAGGAAGGGAAACGACTCAGCCCTGTCTTTGTGGGAGCAAAGACAGGTGAGAGGCCCCCTGACGCTGAGCCTGAGGCCCCTCTTCACACTGATCTCCTGTCGCACCAGTCAGGCCCCGCTCCGTCCTCCTGTTTCATTGGCAAAGCTGCCCAGTCCAAGGCACACAGGAGCCAGGATGACGGGCCAGACCTGGACCCGTCCCCAGCTGGCTCTCCCTGTCTTCTCATAATCCCTGCTCCTGTTGAAAGGGGGAGGGCCCTTCAGACCCCACTCTGGAGGGTGGGCATGGGGAGCAGGTGCTGGCAAGAGAGAGAAGGGAGCAGGGCCTTTTCTGCCTCCCTGGGCCCTGTGGGTCCTAAGCCCTGTGGCACCGCCCTCTCCTGAGAGTTTTGCCATCTGCCCTCTGACTCTCACCCAATTTCTTACCCTATTGGCTCAGGCCTGTCGGGTCCCATATCTTTCCTTCCCTGTCCTCCTATTGGAGCCTCAGAAACCAAGGTCCCCAGGAACCCAGGACTGGCTGCCCAGCTGTGGCCCTTTCCTGGTTTTCGGTCCAGGCCCTCCCCTGCCCCAGGGGGCTCCGTGTTGCTAGAAAACTCTTGCAATAACAATGCCTTCCGCATCCTTGCTGTCTAGGAAGGCAGTGGGCCAGCTCCTTCTCAGGCTTCAGGATGGCTTCTTGGGCTGACACCAGATTCCTTTCCTGTCTGAGCTCCCCGCCTTCTCCCCGACCCCCTCATACACAGGCAGCCCCCTCCACCAGGCCTATGAGGACCACCCCTGTCATAATGTCATGCCTTCTCTCCTGCTGTCTGCCGCCATCAGGAATCTTGTGCCCCCATCTGACTGATGTCCCCAGGACCCTTGGATTTCCCCAGAGGCAGTCAAATCACAAAGAGTGGGCTCCTTGGTAAAAGGATACAGCACTCCAAGCCTGTGACAAGCTGCACCTGCTAGGGAACTAGTCTCTAACTGATGGGAGGAATCTGGACAGCCAGAGGAATAAGATAAACTGCAAGCTAGGGAGTCTCTTTGCCCAGAGGTGTCTCAGGACAGAAGACCCCTCCTGATTGCTTAAGTGGACAGAGGCACAGGCCAGCTGGGGATGGTGGTGGCACTGGGAGGGTGATAGAAAGATTTGGGGGAAGCACTGATCATTTGGGCAGTTCTTGGTTTTTCCAACTCCAGCAAGAGGCAGTAAAGGAGCCACTTTGGAAGATAAACATGAGAACTATTCCTCTCTGTCAGCTGCCCAAGGAGATGCCAGCCCAGGGGCCCCACCCCGCCTCGGGGATCTGTGGGTGACAGAGCCCACTGAGGACTCACTACACCTCCTCTGGACGGTCCCCGAGGGCCACTTTGACTCCTTTGCGGTCCAGTTCAAGGACAGGGATGGGCCCCGGATAGTGCCTGTGGCAGGTCACGAACGCTCAGTCACCATCACCCCTCTGGACAGTGGCCGCAAGTACAGATTCCTCCTCTATGGCCTCCTGGGCAAGAAACGCCATGGCCCCCTCACCGCTGATGGCACCACAGGTGAGGGCCTCCCCTGCAGGGTCTGCCTCTGCACCCGGAGGCCCTGGGGAAGGTGTCTGGTACCCTGCCAGGCCAGGGCTACAGGTGGTCCCTTGTGTTGGCTGCCATCACTGTTATCTGGTTCCAGCCACTCAGGCTGGGACCCAGTCCCCCCGCTCTCCTTGCGTAAGCCCATGGCACCAGCCCTGTGGGATTCACACATCAAAGCCCAGGCTCCAGAGCTCTCGCTCCTGCCCTTCAGAGTCACCCAGACTTCCAGAAATGTCTCAGCCATTTCCTCTATGTCTACATCTCAGAGACCCAGGGTGCTGTGGATGATGCTGGAACAAAGCGTCCCTCAAAACCCCATCTGGGAGAGGAGCTACAGGTGACCAGCGTGACACCACACTCCGTGGGCCTTGCATGGACGGTCCCCGAGGGCCAGTTTGACTCCTTCGTGATCCAGTACAAGGACAAGGACGGGCAGCCCCAAGTGGTGCCCGTGGAAGGCAGCCTCAGGGAGGTCAGGGTCTCGGGCCTGGACCCCTCCCACAGGTACAAGCTGCTGCTCTATGGGCTGCACCAGGGCCGGCGTGTGGGGCCCATCGCTGCTGTCGCTGTGACCGGTGAGTGTGGCTGTGGCCAGAACAGACTGTTCCTCTTTCCTGCCAGCCTTTCCTGGCCTCACCCAGACACACCATTTCAGAGCTTCCTATATCCCTGTCTTTAGAGAAAGGGATCAGCTATATGGAGGTATAATTTATGTACAATAAAATCCACCCATTTAAAGGGAATAATTCAATGTCATGAAATCATTATCTCAACTGAGCTGTGAGACACTTCCCTGGGCCCGAAAGGGCGCTGTGTCCCTCTCAGTCAGTTCCCCTAGTGCAGGGGCATCAGACTCATCTTCACCGGGGGCCACAGCAGCCTTGCGGTTGCCTTCTAAGGCCCAAATGTAATTCTAGGACTGTATAAATGTCACTACACCTTAACTAGGGGCAAGGAGCTTGGCACTGCCGCTGGGTAGAAACAAGGTGCCAGGCAGCAAAGGAGATAGAACAAGGTGGAGGCCGGATTCGGCCCACGGGCCTTGTGTTTGCCACCTGTGCCCTAGCACCAGCCTCTGGCACTGTGGATTGCTTACCATCAGGATCATTTTGACTTTTAAAGCCTTCTGTTTGCAGGATCACACAGTACATAGTCTTTTGTGTTTGGCTTCTTGCACTTAGCATCATGCTTTTAAAATCCCCCCGTGTATCAATAGTTGGCCCCCTTTGTCACTGACCACTTGCCTTCACCTCCCACCCTCCCCTTGGAGAGACCTAGTGCAGCAACAAGCCCATCACCCAGCTCTACCTGTCTCTCTGCACCAGCCCCCAGGGAAGAAATTGGAGCTGAGACCATGGCCCCAAACCCTCCACAGTCTGAGCCGCAACTCGGGGAGCTGACTGTGGACGAAGCCACGCCACACACCCTACACGTCTCCTGGACGGTCACTGAGGGAGAATTTGACTCCTTCGAGGTCCAGTACATTGACGAGGATGGGAAACTCCAAGTTGTCAGTTTAGGGGGCAACCGAAATGACATCACCCTCTCTGGACTGGAATCCAACCACAGATACCTGGTAAATGTGTACGGTTTCCATGGCCGGCATCGTCTGGGTCCTATCCGGGTGGAATCTCGGACAGGTGAGCAAGAGGAACTCTGTGTACCCTGCTTCCTTCCAGACAGCATGAGAGCCCTAGGACAGGAGAGCCCTCTGGACGCCGGCCCCTCGCTCAGGTCCTCCTCTCTCTCCCTGTATCTGTTTAGTTCCAAGGAAAGAGGAGAATGAACTACCAGAAACTTCCATCATGGGCCCCGAGGCTCCCATCAAGCCCCTCCTGGGAGAGCTGACCGTGACAGACGCCACCGTGGACTCCCTGCACCTGTCCTGGACCGTCCCCGAGGGCCAGTTCGACCACTTCCTAGTCCAGTACAAGAACAGGGACGGGCAGCCCAAGGCGGTGCGGGTGCCAGGACACGAGGACAGGGTCACCATCTCGGGCCTGGAGCCAGACCACAAGTACAAGATGAACCTGTATGGCTTCCACGACGGCCAGCGCCAGGGCCCCATCTCTGCCACTGGGGTGACAGGTGAGTGGACAGTAGGCGCCCCAGAGAGGGAGCCTGCAGGGGAATCACTCTCCACGATGCGTGGGCGAGGTGCGGGGGGCCCCTCTGCTCAAGGCTGAGCCATGGTGCCCTTCGTGCCTCCCCCTGGGCTCCCCAAGGACCAGCGCGTCCCCCTGGGCAGAGAAAGGCCTCTGTGAGCTGTGCTGGTGGCTGCCCTGCTTCCCCACAGCTGACCCCGAGGGTCTGGGCATGTTTGTGACGTTGGGCTGAGCAGGACCTCCCAGCCCCCAGGAGGGACTCCTCTGCAGTGACCTCAGGGTCCAGTCATGACCACAGCCTGGGAGAGGACTGAGGACATCTCCATGGACCCTGCCTCACACTCCCTCTGTCTGTCCTTCTCAGCTGCTGAGGACGAGACCCCCAGCCCCACAGAACCCGGCACAGAGGCCCCAGAGCCCCCCGAGGAGCCCCTCCTGGGGGAGCTGACAGTGACAGAATCCTCCCCAGACTCGCTGAGCCTCTCCTGGACCGTCCCCCAGGGCCACTTCGACTCCTTCACCGTCCAGTACAAGGACAGGGACGGGCGGCCCCAGGTGGTGCGTGTCGGGGGTGAGGAGAGAGAGGTCACTGTGCAGGGCCTGGAGCCGGGGCGCAAGTACAAGATGCACCTGTATGGCCTGCACGGGGGGCAGCGTGTGGGCCCCGTGTCCACTGTGGGCCTGACAGGTGAGTGGCGGCTGAAGGGCCTCCAGGGTTGGGCTCAGGAAAGGTCGCAGTAGTGGAGCCTCCAGAGTCCCCTGCAGTGCAGACTGTAAAATCCCATCCTCTGCCCCTGCACTGTCCATCAGACAGCCGAGGACAGAGACAGTCTGGGGGCAGGAAGAGCAATTGTCAGGAAGGCGCCTGGCCATCTGAGAGGCCCCGGGGTACCGAAGCCTCCAAGGCAATAATGCCCTGGCCCACTGTGGCTCTGCTTTGGCTGGGAACTCTGGAGAGAACTCTGTTTGGGAGCTGGGACACATATCACCTGCTTCCACCAGATAGCAACTCCTGTCCAGTCTGCTCGCCCTTTCCTCCATCTCTGCCCGCCCTCTCCATAGAATGCTTCCATAGCGACAACTTTATTGACATAATTCGCATACGAGAAATGGCACCTGTTTCAATATACGACTTAATCGATTTTTAGTATATTTGGAGGGTGTGCGTGCTTCACCACTATCTTGTTCTTGAACTTTTCTTCCACCCCAAGAAGAGCCCTCATGGGTAGACCCTTCCGACGCCCATCCCCAGGCCACCCTAATCTGTGCTCTGTGCCTGGCCCTGCCCTGCCCGACCAACCGTGCAAACGGGACCCACAGCGCATGCTCTCTCGTGCCTGGCTCCTTCGCCAGCCACGCTTTGAGGTCCATGCGTGTGGTGGCATCAGGCAGTACTGTGTGTCTTTGTACAGCCAAATAGTATTCCTGGTGGGGTAGACCACTGAAGTGTTTTTGCACTCACCCCAGACACTGTACTTCATCACTAAATATTTATAGTCCCTCTTTGAAAAGGCTATTTACAAATAACCACGTGATAATTATTGTACCTCAAGAATGAACAGTCATTCCTTAATGTCCTCAAGTATCCAGGGAGTGCTACCAGTTTCTGGTGGCTTCATAATTGTTGTGTTCCAATTTGTTGCTGGAATTCGGTCTACACAAAGAGGGTAGGTGGTAACTGGGAGGACTGGAACTTTAAATAGGTGGTGGGGGGAAGGTCCCACCGAGAAGGTAGCGTTTGAAAGGACTGAAAGGAAGCGTGGGCAGGGCCCCACAGACATCTGGGGAAAGAGCGAGAGGGCAGAGGAAACAGGCAAAGGCTCTGAGGCAGGAGGCGGGCCAGGTACATGGACTCCAAGGAGGCCACAGAAAGACGTGATGGTCACAACCAGAAATGGATCTTAAGTTAGTCCCAGAGCTGAAGAAGTCAGGAGAAGCTGGGGTCTCAGCAACTTCTTCTAGCAACAGGAAAGCTTCTGTCTGCATCTTTTCCCAGCCCCCGAAGTGGAACAGTCAGCCAGCCCCACTTTGAAGCCAAGCCTGGGGCAGCTGACTGTGACTGACGCCACCGTGGACTCCCTGCACCTGTCCTGGACCGTCCCCGAGGGCCAGTTCGACCACTTCCTGGTCCAGTACAAGAACGGTGATGGGCAGCCCAAGGCGGTGCGGGTGCCAGGGCACGAGGACAGGGTCACCATCTCGGGCCTGGAGCCAGACCACAAGTACAAGATGAACCTGTATGGCTTCCACGACGGCCAGCGCCAGGGCCCCATCTCTGCCATCGGGGTGACGGGTGAGTGGACAGTGGGCGCCCCAGAGAGGGAGCCTGCAGGGGGACACTCTCCACGATGGGTGGGTGGGGTGCGGGGTGCCCCTCTGTTCAAGGCTGAGCCATGGTGCCCTCAGTGCCTCCCCCTGGGCTCCCCAAGGACCAGCGCGTCCCCCTGGGCAGAGAAAGGCCTCTGTGAGCTGTGCTGGTGGCTGCCCTGCTTCCCCACAGCTGACCCCGAGGGTCTGGGCATGTTTGTGAGGTTTGGGCTGAGCAGGACCTCCCAGCCCCCAGGAGGGACTCCTCTGCAGTGACCTCAGGGTCCAGTCATGACCACAGCCTGGGAGAGGACTGAGGACATCTCCATGGACCCTGCCTCACCCTCCCTCTGTCTGTCCTTCTCAGCTGCCGAGGAAGAGACCCCCCAGCCCCACAGAACCCGGCACAGAGGCCCCCAGAGCCCCCCTGAGGAGCCCCCTCCTGGGGGAGCTGACAGTGACAGAATCCTCCCCAGACTCGCTGAGCCTCTCCTGGACCGTCCCCCCAGGGCCACTTCGACTCCTTCACCGTCCAGTACAAGGACAGGGACGGGCGGCCCCAGGTGGTGCGTGTCGGGGGTGAGGAGAGAGAGGTCACTGTGCAGGGCCTGGAGCCGGGGCGCAAGTACAAGATGCACCTGTATGGCCTGCACGGGGGGCAGCGTGTGGGCCCCGTGTCCACTGTGGGCCTGACAGGTGAGTGGGGGCAGGGCAGGCAGGGTGGTGAGGACCGGCCCTGGAAAACTTTCCCTTTATTACCATCTTTGGTAATAAAGAAAACATCAGTGTGCCCACTTGCCCGCCCTCTTTTGCGCATCGGTGGCCTGAGGGTCTTGGTGAAGGGCAGATCTTTCAGCAGATCAGGCTGGGGCCAGAGATCCCGCATCCCTAAGGTTCTCTGGGCTGCTGCTGCTGCGGCTGCTGTGAGGACCACACTTGGGTAGCATCTGCTCACAACCAAGGGGTCAACTCTTTCCCAGAATCTGTGGGAGGGAATCGTGCTGGCACCCCTGGGGTATCCTAGAGATGCAGCGTCTGTGGCATGACTGGAGGCTGTGACGGAGGGTGGGAGGTGCTCAGAAAGTAGCATCCTGTCTGCAGCGCCCCAGCCTCATGGTTCGGACATTCCCAGACCTCTGACTGTAATGGGCCAGCTAAGATGGGGGCATCCTGAGCCAAGTGCTGTGGGAATTCACAGGGACTCAGCCTTGAACTTGGACGAGAGACAAGGCCTTATACTAAGGGGGCTGACGGTCAGGGAAGACAGGCTGTGAACCAGCAAATCAGACAGAGGAGGACAGGGATATGACAGAGAGTCCCGGGGCACTGAGACCTCAGCCAGCCTGTCCACAGGCGCCCACGGGACGGCTGATACCTGAGGTCAGGCAGGTGTTAGTGTGGTGACAGTGCGTGGGATGACTAGTGTGTCGGATGAACAATGTCAGAGCCGGGGCAAAGGCCCGGGAACTTGGAATACTGGGGCACATGAGAGCATCTTGGATGAAGTGCTCTGAGTAGGGGGGTGGTGTTGAGATGGGGGTGGTGTTGAGATGGGGGTGGAGAGGGGAGGGCAGCTCAGGAAGCAGGGACTCCTCGGGGGCTTCAGAGGGTTGTGCACAGTTTCAAGTTGGACCGATTCCATCAGTTGTGCACTTAATGTCCCGTTCTGGTCCCCTGTGCGGAGGGGACGGGAAGCAGGCAGAGACACCAGGTGAGAGGTGAGGGTGGCCCTAAGCAGGAAGGTTGGGCTGCAGGTGTGGAGAGTGAGGAGATGTGACAGGAACTTTAGAAAGACTGGGACACTCAGAGTCGATGGCAGCTGAGGACAGGGACAGAACCAGGCCGACTGCTGGTTTCCTGTGGGGAGCGTCTCTGAGCTGCTCAGGGGCAAAGCCATGAGCCAGAGGGAGCGAGATGCCAACGAGACCCCAGTGCAGGGAGCCCAGGGCGCGGTGGCCACACAGACCTGTGTTCCGAGGAGAGGCAGGAGCAGGAGGAGAGGGAGAGCCACAGTGGTGTTGGTGGGTGGTGGGTGAGGCGGGGGGGGGGTGACAGTGAGGAAGGAGACGTTAAGGGACCAGAAAGAGTCATAGCAAGAGCCACTGTGGACGGCCAGAGTCTGTTCCTTGTTCTCTTATTTTTACAATAGACCCTGATAGGCTGAACTGAGGACTGAGGAGACCTCACCTGTCTCCCATGTCTCTGTCCAGCTCGCCCAGCTCCAGATCACGAAGCTCGGACCACCCAAGTCCCTGCCACCACGACCCCCAAGGCTCCCATCAAGCCCCTCCTGGGGGAGCTGACTGTGACTGACACCACTCCGGACTCCCTGCACCTGTCCTGGACCGTCCCCGAGGGCCAGTTCGACCACTTCCTAGTCCAGTACAAGAACGGTGATGGGCAGCCCAAGGTGGTGCGGGTGCCAGGACACGAGGACAGGGTCACCATCTCGGGCCTGGAGCCAGACCACAAGTACAAGATGAACCTGTATGGCTTCCACGACGGCCAGCGCCAGGGCCCCATCTCTGCCATCGGGGTGACGGGTGAGTGGACGGTGGGCGCCCCAGGGAGGGAGCCTGCAGGGGCATCACACTCCACGATGGGTGGGCGGGGTGCAGGGGGCCCCTCTGCTCGAGGCTGAGCCATGGTGCCCTCAGTGCCTCCCCCTGGGCTCCCCGAGGACCAGCGTGTCCCCCTGGGCAGAGAAAGGCCTCTGTGAGCTGTGCTGGTGGCTGCCCTGCTTCCCCACAGCTGACCCCGAGGGTCTGGGCATGTTTGTGACGTTGGGCTGAGCAGGACCTCCCAGCCCCCAGGAGGGACTCCTCTGCAGTGACCTCAGGGTCCAGTCATGACCACAGCCTGGGAGAAGACTGAGGACATCTCCATGGACCCTGCCTCACACTCCCTCTGTCTGTCCTTCTCAGCTGCTGAGGAAGAGACCCCCAGCCCCACAGAACCCAGCACAGAGGCCCCAGAGCCCCCCGAGGAGCCCCTCCTGGGGGAGCTGGCAGTGACAGAATCCTCCCCAGACTCGCTGAGCCTCTCCTGGACCGTCCCCCAGGGCCACTCGACTCCTTCACCGTCCAGTACAAGGACAGGGACGGGCGGCCCCAGGTGGTGCGTGTCGGGGGTGAGGAGAGAGAAGTCACTGTGCAGGGCCTGGAGCCGGGGCGCAAGTACAAGATGCACCTGTATGGCCTACACGGGGGGCAGCGTGTGGGCCCCGTGTCCACTGTGGGCCTGACAGGTGAGTGGGGACAGGGCAGGGTTTTGCTGTGTTCCTTTCTGCCTTTCCCCTTGGCGGTCAGTACTCCTTGCACACAGGTCATTCCCCTGTTCTTTCCCACATGGCACCAGGGTCCCTCATGATCCTTGAATGAGTGAGGATGGCACGCACCTTGTCAGGGGCTGGTACGCATGAGCCATACCTCATACATTTTAGCTTTGTTCCTCTCCTCACCATACCGACCTCTAACTTGCTGACTTTTTAATCTGTGGCTTCCTCGGGCTCCCTGACTGGGGAGTTTGGTGGCTAAAGTGGGTGTGGATCCTGGCTTTCTGCGTTTGAGTCCTGTTCTGAACTTGCTGATTATTTATTATGCAGATATGTCCCAACCCCTGCAGCTGCATTCCTCTCCCCGCTCCATTCTGTGCCAGCCCCCTGCACAGTTTGGCCGTGTGATACCCATAAGGCACCTACCACACCTGTTGTGTGGGTGCAGGCACAACTCCTGGGACCCAGGAACACTTCGCAGCAATTAGCTTGAATGTTCCCTCTCTAGGACAGGGTCCTGCCATTGAGCCCTGAGGCTCTGCTGCTCTGTTCCAGCCTCTGTGCCCACAGAGCCCCCGTGGCACCTTGCCTGGAGGTGCTGGCTGTGGCAGCCATGACCTTGGATGTAGCGCCCCTGTCTTGGGCAGTGGCCCAGTGCCCTTTTGACTCCTTCCTGGTCCAGTGCAGGGATGTTCAGGGGAAGCCCCAGGTAGTGCCCAAGGGAAAGTCACCATCTCCAGTCTGACCCCTGTCCAACTCCAAGTACGAATTCCTACTCATTGGTCTGCAGGATTGGAACAGGCAGTGCCCATTCTCTGCAGATGCAAAGACCCTTGAGTAAGGTCCACAGACCACCTTTGCTCTTGGAGCCTTTTGACCATCCTTCGCCCCCTTGTGGCAACAGGGGGGACATCAGTTTTTGTGTTCCACACTCCAGACCTCAGGGTCTCCAGACCCATACATTTACTGGGCCCAGTGAAACCCAGTCCCCCTTACCCCTCATCTTGTCCTTCTCCTTGCTCCTCCTATCCCCAAGGACCCCTCTTTCTTCCCTTGCTCCTCTTTTGTCCCCTCACCTCTGCTTTCCCCTTCCTGACATGTGGCCCTGAGGGTTTCTGTTGTTCTCCATGTACCTCTCCCTTTTTTCCAGTCCCAGACACAAAACTTCCTCACCTGGGGGAGCTGACAGTGACAAACGTGACCCCAGATTCCATGAGCCTCTCTTGGGTGGTCCCCCAGGGCAAATTTGACTCCTTTGTGGTCCAGTAGAAGGACAGGGTCAGGGCAGTCCCAGGTGGTGCCCGTGGCTGCAGACCAGCTGGAGGTCACTGTCAGTGAGCCCAACAGGAAGTATAAGTTCCTGCTCTACAGGCTGGCAGGCAGGGAGCAGCAGGGTGCCATCCCTGCTGAGGGCACCACAGGGAAGCTCCAGCCCTGCCCCCACCTTTCTCCGAGCTGCCTCTTATCTGAGCCCCAGAGCTGGGCCTGAGGCCATCCCATGAAGTTTATTCTTCTCTGTCAGCCCTGATGCAACAACCCTAACACCAAAAGCAAACACATATTGAGTCCCTACTGCATACCGGGCACTCTTCTGAGCAGTAACATGCATTTTCTTTTCCACTCGCTGACTGGCCAGGCAATAAAAACATCCCAGGCTCCAGAGCCACACAGGCCAGTGTGCGACCCAGCTGTGCGGCCACATCCCAGCTGCGTCCCTTTGGACCTCAGTCTCCACACTTGCGTGATGATTGTGAATGACACCCATGGGCGCTCAGTGAACGTTCACATCCTCCTTCCTTGGCCCCAGCTCTGTGACAGGAGGTAGAAAGTACAGAGAGTTCGGCTGCAAAAAGACAATGGGAAAATCTGTGTCATTGTGCCTATGACTCAGTCCCCCAAGGAGGGGGCAGGGGTCAGTCACTGACACTCGCCCCACCCTCGGAGCCACAAGCCACCCTGGCCAGACATTCAGCACAGGCCAGCTGGGGCCAGGGGCCCTCAGACTCCGCAGTTCTCCTCCCTGAACCCTCATTATGGTGATGGGGTACAGACTTCTCCTCCAACCCCCACCAGGCAGCACCCACGCTTGGCAGGTCTCTTCCATACTCTGCCCCCGGCCCCTCCCGCTACCCCTCCTCACCCAGCTTCGAAGTCCCGAGCTCAGGGCAGGGCTGGGGAAGTAGGTGGAAGGAGGGCCCAGGCTGACAGAGAGCAAGGAGGGGGGCATGACGGGTGATGGCCACCTGTGAGCTCGGCTGGCTGCCCGGCCTGGCTTCCACTGTCAACCTGACCACCCAGACACCCTCTGGAACCTTTCTCAGCACTGACCACATCTCTGCTCGGGGGTCTGGGGGTCAGCGGGAAACTGACACCCTTCTCAACAGCCCCAGTCACCTCCCTTTATAAGGTGATCTTTTATACATTTCTTGCACACTGGTCAAGTGGGGGGAGGGGGCAAGGAAGGGTTTGGGCAGTGGCCTCTGCAGGAGCAGACCAGGTGCCCACAGGACTGGAGCAGGCCTGCCTCCTCAGGCGGCTGTCCTTGAAGCCACACCTCAGGGACTGTTTCTCAGACCCTCACACCTCCTGGAAGTTGCCAAGGTTGAGGTGAAGGCAGCTCTAAGAGTTTCTCACCACCCCCAACTCTCTCCACAGCTCCCCTGAAGGACTGGTAGCCCCATCCCACCTAGGGGAGCTTACAGTGACAGATGAGACCCCACTCTCCCTGCACCTTGTGTGGACGGTAGCTCAGGGCCCCTTTGACTCCTTCCTGGTCCAGTACAGGGACACAAACGGGCGGCCCAGGACAGTGCCGGTGGCTGCAGACCAGCGAGAGGCCACCATAGATGGCCCAGAGCCTGGCAGGAAATACAAGTTCCTGCTCCACGGGCTCCTGGGAGGACAACACCTGGGCCTGTCTCTGTCCTGGGAGTGACAGGGAGGGGGAGGCCGTCCTGCACAGCCCCAGCAAGCCGATCTTTGGGCTGAAGATGTAGGAACAGGCAGGAGTGGACAGGGGCATGAGGGAGCCCTGCCTGGAGCCCAGAGGAGGGAGCCAGGGGCCAGCTCTGTCAGTGACCAGGGGTCAGTCGAAAGCAGGAGCCAGGCCAGGAGAGGCCCAGGCTGTGGCCCTCAATCTCCGGATCCCTTCAACCACCTGCCCCCTTCAACCACCTGCCCTTCCTCCGGGGGGCACTCCTACATCCCCTCAGGGTGACCTTGCCCAGGTAGGGTTAAAAAACCCCACCCATGGATGGGTCAGGAGCCTTTTCTCAGATGGAAAAATTGGAAAACAACAGCAAAGGGCAAAGAAACCAGCAGAAGTGGCTGTGTTGGTGGGAGGGGCTCCTCCAGAGGTGCTGACCCAGCTCACGTCAGCCCCACGAGGCAGGTTTGCCCCTTGTTCACCAGCCACTTCCATCCTCAGCTGTTCTCAGAAAGGAGGACCATGGCCGAACTCAGGACTGGCCGAGTCAGTCCTGCCTCAGAGGCAGCACAAGCTCAGACCTAGCAAAGGAGTCCACAGAGAGGAGCCCTGGGGCCACAGTGCCGGCCCCAGGGAGACCCGTGGTGGCGTAGCAGGCCTCACCGCCAGGGCAGGGATTTGGCAGATTCGAGACAAGGAAAATGCTAGGAGAGCCTCAGTCCTTCTCTCCTCTCTACCTGGCTTCCCCGGCCAGGACCTGTAAAGGCCCCACTTCAGCCCGGGGCCACCCCAGAGCCGGAGCAGTGGCGTTGGGAGGGCCTGCTGTGCGCAGGCGCAGCCCATGCAGCCTCGCATAGACGTGCGCACGCGCACTCAGCGTCTTCCCGGGCTTCTCCCACAGCCCCAGAAGAGGCCCCTGAGTCTCCCGAAGGGCCCCGCCTGGGGGTGCTGGCAGTGACTGACAGGACCCCAGACTCCCTGCGCCTCTCGTGGACTGTGGCCCAGGGCTCCTTCGACTCCTTCGTGGTGCAGTATTGGGACACAGACAGGCAGTCCCAGGCCTTGCTTGTGGGTGGTGACCAGAACAAGGTCCTTGTGTCGGGCCTGGAACCGAGCACCCCCTACAAGTTCTTCCTCTACGGCCTCCGTGAAGGGAAGCGCCTGGGCCCTGTCTCAGCTGAGGGCACCACAGGTACCACTGGGCCAGGGCCTACATCTTAGCCTCCCTGCTTCTCCCCGGGGCCTGGAGGGTGAGGGGCGCCCAGAAGTGGTGAGCACAGGGAAAGAGCATGAGGGTGCCATGGAGCGGGGAGAGGGGTTGCCCTGGCTCTGCACATAGGCGCTGTCACTGTGGGTCCTGCTGTGGGTGCCAGGCCCGCATTAGCTCCACTTTACAGATGAGGAACTAGGGGCCAGGCTGGGTGGCAGAAGCGACCTGCCCCAGGATGGGGCACACCTGGATGGTGTGCTTCTGCCTCTAAACCATTCTCCCACCCACTCTGTGCAGGGTCAGCTCCTGCCGGTCAGAGCCTGGGGGAGCCAGGGCCCCGGCTCTCCCAGCTGTCTGTGACTGATGTGACCACCAGCTCTCTGCGTCTCAACTGGGAGGCCCCCCCTGGGGCCTTTGACTCCTTCCTGCTTCACTATGGGGTCCCATCAGCAAGCACTCTGGAGCTGCATCCACGTCCCTTGCTGCAGCGGGAGGTGACAGTGCCAGGGACGCGGCGCTCGGCTGTGCTTCGGGACCTCCGTCCTGGGAGCCTGTACAGCCTTACACTGTATGGCCTGCGTGGGCCCCACAATGCCGACAGTGTGCAGGGCACCGCCCGTACGCTGAGCCCAGGTGAGGCCCCATGGCTGGGAACTGGTGCCTCGGGCAGAGGGAGGCTGGTGAGTGGGGCAGGGAGTGGGGAATGCAGAAAGACTTCACGTCTGTGCCTGCAGCCAGTGTCCCAGGAAGGTGGGGGCAGGGATCTTCCATGGGAGCCCCCGGCCTGTGCCCTCACCATCACTACTTGGCACACTACTCTCCTCAGTTCTGGAGAGCCCCCGTGACCTCCAGTTCAGCGAAATTGGGGAGACCTCAGCCAGGGTCAGCTGGATGCCCCCACCGTCCAGAGTTGACAGCTTCAAAGTATCCTACCAACTGGCAGAAGGAGGTGACACCCTTTGCCCATATCCTCACTGGCTCTCATTTCTCCACGCCCTCCACTCTGCCCACCCCGCAGCCCCTCCTGGCTCCCCTAGCAACCTCCCAAGCCCACCGTGTTTTCAGGGGAGCCACAGAGTGTGCAAGTGGACAGCCAGGCCCGGACCCAGCAACTCGAGGGGCTGGTCCCAGGCGCTCGCTACGAGGTGACGGTGGTGTCTGTCCGGGGCTTCGAGGAGAGTGAGCCTCTCACGGGCTTCCTCACCACCGGTGAGGCCATGGGTGGGAGTTAGCTCAGTGACTGGAGAGGGCAGGGGTGTTGGAGGGTCCAGCCGCAGACCAGAGGCCCAGCAGGATTTGGGAAGGAGGGGGTGGGGAAAGCAGCAGGGGCCTGTGCTGAGCCCCTTATGTTGTTCTCCCAGTTCCTGATGGCCCCACCCAGCTGCGAGCACTGAACTTGACAGAAGGAACAGCCGTGCTACATTGGAAGCCCCCTCAGGCTCCTGTGGACACATATGACATCCAGGTTACAGCCCCAGGCAGTGAGTAGGGCTCAGGCATTTGGAGGGGGCATATGCAGGGAGGCAGAGCAGCAGCTACTGACATCCCCCCATGGCCAGCCCCCTCTCTACAGGCCTCAGCCCCCAGCAGCACCGTGGACTACCCCTTACACGGCCTCGAGCTCCACACCAACTATACAGCCACCGTGCGTGGCCTTCGAGGCCCCAACCTCACCTCTCCAGCCAGCATCACCTTCACCACAGGTACCTCCTGTGAAGTGTGTGGGATGGGGGGGGGCAGGTGCAAGGAAGGGCCCCACCTCCCTCTTCTTTTCCCTTTTCTCTTTCCAGGGTTGGAGGGCCCCCGGGACTTGGAAGCCAAGGAAGTGACCCCCCGCACAGCCCTGCTTACTTGGACAGAGCCCCAAGTCCCACCAACTAGCTACCTGCTCACCTACGACACTCCTGGTGGACAGACCCAGGTGCCCCCACCCCTGCCCCACTGGCCAGCTCCCGTCTCTAGGTTCCCTTCCAGGAGGGGCTGCCTCTGCCTCTCCTGGTGGGGCTCTGCCTCCCTGTCCCCTGAGCCGCCCCTTGTCTGTCTCACAGGAGATCGAGCTCGCAGGAGGCCTCACCTCTCACCAGCTCCAGGGCCTCTTTCCCTCCACCAGCTACAGAGCCTGGCTCCGGGCTGTGTGGGGCGAGAGCCTCACGCCACCCATGTCTACCTCCTTCACCACGGGTACCTGGGTGCTGGGACCTGAGGTGGGGGCTGGGTGGGCAGCTGGGGTCTAGGGTTTGGAGAAAGGACCGGCCTCTCTCTGTCCTCTCTCCAGGTGGACTGCGGGTCCCCTTCCCCCGGGACTGCGGGGAGGAGATGCAGAACGGGGCCGGCACCTCCAGAACCTCCACCATCTTCCTCAACGGCAATCGAGAGCGGCCCCTGAACGTGTTCTGTGACATGGAGACTGACGGGGGCGGCTGGCTGGTGGGTGGCAGCCGGGAGCCCGGGGACATGCACAGGGCCAGGGCTGCTGCGCCGGGGGCCATGGGCTGATGGTGCGCACTTCTCAGGTGTTCCAGCGTCGCATGGACGGACACACGGACTTCTGGAGGGACTGGGAAGACTACGCCCGTGGTTTTGGGAACATCTCTGGGGAGTTCTGGCTGGGTCAGTGCCTCACAGGCACGGGGGCACCAGGGAAGGGATGGGGGCCCTGTGGACACCAGGGCCCTGGTGAGAGCATGCTTCCCACCCCCAGGCAACGAGGCCCTGCATAGCCTGACGAGAGCTGGCGACTACTCCATGCGTGTGGACCTGCGGGCTGGGGACGAGGCAGTGTTCGCTCAGTACGACTCTTTCCGGGTAGACTCGGCCTCAGAGTACTACCGCCTCCACCTGGAGGGCTACCACGGCACCGCAGGTGAGGGCTGGGCCTGGGTGCTGGGTGGGCATGAGGTAGGGGAGGTCCTCACTCCTTTCCTCACCCGCCGGCCAGGGGACTCCATGAGCTACCACAGTGGCAGTGTCTTCTCTGCCCGAGACCGAGACCCCAACAACTTGCTCATCTCCTGTGCCGTCTCCTACCGAGGGGCTTGGTGGTATAGGAACTGCCACTATGCCAACCTCAACGGGCTCTACGGGAGCACAGTGGACCACCAGGTGAGCGTCCGGGGGAGATGCAGCTGGGGCGGCTGGGGCTCGGCCTGCCTGGGTGTGACGCTCCATGTGATGGGCAAGTCACTGAGCCCACGAGGCCCTCGTCTGTGAAATGGAAGAACGATGCTCTCTCACCAGGGTGTTTTGGAGAGGAGGTGATTTATTGGTTGGAAAGAGCCAGCTCAGGATTAAGCCTCAGTCCTTGCCCTTGAGGGTTATGAAGGCAGCAGGGAGGGAAGAAGGTTGATTTCTGGAATGCAGCTTCCCAAAAGGGCAGGGGTGGGAGCAAATGGGATGTCTGCTCTGACTCTCCCCACAACCTCCTTTCCAGGGAGTGAGCTGGTACCACTGGAAGGGCTTCGAGTTCTCTGTGCCCTTCACGGAAATGAAGCTGAGACCCAGAGGCTACCAGGCCCCTGCCTGGGGAGGCTGAGCCTGGGCTCGCCTCTCCCACGCAGGTACGGCTGCAGAGCACTGAGGGGCCGCGAGGAGAGAAGACTCAAGGCCCGTCTTCACTACCCATCCACCAGAGGAAGCCTTCTCCACCGCGGTCTCACAGCACTATGTTTACAGGGGGGAGGGAGGATGGTACGGGAGCAATAAAAGGAGAAACTGAGGCATGAGGCTGCACGTGTCCTGCCAGTCACTGACTCTCTCCCAGCACAGGGCCACTTGCTCCTCGGGGCTGCAGCCGCACCTGGAAAGGCTGCACAGTGAGGTTCACGCCGTGGGGCTCGGGCTGCAAGGAGGGCAGGGTGCCTGTGGGTGGCAGCAGCGTGAAGGCCTGCAGCAGGCGCGCCAGCACCACGAACAGTTCTAGGCGCGCCAGCGGCTCGCCCAAGCACACGCGTGCCCCGCAACCGAAAGCCAGAGCGCTGGGACTAGCGCCAGGGGCCAGGAAGCGATCTGCAGGGGAAGGACAGACCTGGTCAGAGGCTGCCAGGGACTGGCCCCCGCTGCTCCCACCCGCGGGCACCGGCCCTGCACACACCAGGCCAGAACTCGTGTGGCCGCTCCCAGACCGTCTCGTCCAGGTGGGCCCCCTGGAGGTTGGGGATGATGACTGTGCCCTCGGGGATGTCATAGCCGAAGATGCTGATGGCAGGGTGGAGTTAGAGGCCGCCCAGGACCCCGCCTGCCATCCCACTCACCCCTGCCTTTCGGGAGTCACCTGCTGGGCCGAGTGGTGCGGTGTGGCAGGGCCAGGGGCACCACTGGCCGCAAGCGCAGCACCTCGGCGATGGTGGCATTGAGCAGGGGCAGTCGCGTGCGGTCCTTGTACGGGACTTGTGAGCTCCCAGCCCCAGGGCCCAGCTCACGGTCCAGCTCCTCCTGCAGTCTCTGCTGAACCTGGGAAATGGGGGCAAGTCTAGTGCGGGGTCCAGCCTTGCCTCTCACCCCGCCTCCAGCCATGCCCTGGTGCACCCACAGGAACCTTTGTGCCAATTAGAAGAAGCCCCCCCACCCTGTGCTAACACAGCCTGCATCAGGGTGGGGTGACAGGCGGCCATTCCCTGTCCCCAGGGCACACCTCAGGGTGATGAAGCAAGAACGCCACAGCCCAGGAGAGAGTGGTTGAAGTGGTCTCCGTGCCACCGATGAAAAGGTCCACCACAGACATATGCACATGCCCTTCGAGGAGCTGTCCGGGAGCCTCCTGTACTCTTGGCTTCCCCACGCCCTGAAGCATGTAGTCCATCATGTCCCTCCAGTGTCCGGCCACCATACTCTCCTGGAGAGGGGAGGGGCCAGCCTGAGTGCCTGGTGGCGGGCTGAAGGACCTGGTCCAAGCACAGTGCCCACCTTGTGCCTCCTCAGCTGCTCCTCCACAATGTGGTCCCTGTTCTCCACGGCCTGCTTCAGCCTCCAGAGGCCGGGGTTGGGGAAGAACTGGTCAGGGAGCAAGACAGTGTAGCTGCTGGGAAGGAAGCCTGTCCCCCACCCACTCCCAGGAGCCAGGGTGTCTGGCTCCACCTCCTCACCCTGAGGAACGGAAAGATGTCCAAAATTTGGATGGACCAGTGGTCCCAGGTTTTCATCAAGTCCTGGACACAGTCGTGAAAGACATGTACTAAGGTATCCTCCTGCCAGAAGAGGGAATCCTTTCAGTTTAGGACAAGGAGGGGTCAGGGAGGGGCCGAGGAGTGGGTCCAAGCAGATGTGAGCTTGAGAGAGCCTTGACCTTGTCTCCAAAGGTGAGGCAGCAGATGATGCTGCAGGTGAGGAAAGAGAATTCCTTCTGGATGGCTACGGGGACACCGGCCTGGGCTCTCATGCGCTGTGGAGAAAGCAGGAACTGAACAGGCCGGGACTGCTGGCAGAGGAGAGGCCAACCTGGGGTGACCATGGGGTCCAGCCTCACCTCACAGAACTCCTGGGTCAGCTGTTCCACCAGGGGCTCCATGGAGCTGCGCATGCCCAGCAGGAGGGCAGAACGGGTGAGTCTCTTGTGGGCCTTCCAGAGCAGGGAGTAGTCCCCAAGTGAGAGGTCCTGGCTGTGCTGAGACACCAGCTTGTCTGCGAGTAGGGGTAGGGGCCGAACTGACCAAGGGAGCCACAGCCTGACCTTCCCTGCCACCCCCAGCCCCAGCTTCTCCCACCCCTTACAGGATGGTATCTGGGGTCTGCCGGCAAAATCCACCCACTTCTTGACCATGGCTTCCTCAATGGTTCTCTTAGAGTTCAGTACCACCACATCTGGGGGAGTACCAAAGCAGATATCAGCAGAGAGTGCACCCACATCCCACTGTGGCGGAGCCAGGCAGGGAGCAGGCACACACTCACCTTGTAGCCCGAGGCGGAGCCTATAGACAGGCCCGAGTTTCTGAGCCAGGCCAAGCAGGTAGATGGGAAGGTTAGGCTGCAGTAGGTGCAGAAAACCGGGGACAAGAGGTGGGAGGTGGAGGCTCCTGAGCTTCCACTGGCCCCACAGCAGGCGGGCACCAGCCAACACAGTCAGCAGCAGCAGCCCAAGGAGCAGCATGGCCAGAGACCCATGCAAAGGCCCCCGCCTGGCCACTTATACCTCTGGAGGTCCCAGCATCCATCTTGCTGCTCGGGCTGTCCTGGGGCCCCCCTTGACTCCTTCCCTCAGGCCCCTGCCCACTGTCCCGCCCACAGAATACCACATTCTTGGAATGGCAACAGGCGTGCTGGCCTTGGGGAGTCCATATTTCAAAGAACAGGCCTTTCTTCTTTCATCCATCAAGAAGAAAGGAAGGAAAGTGCAACCCTGACCTTTCTCCCACAGCCAGCATCACCTTCACGGCCCCGCACCAGCCATACAGGAAAATGCGTCCACACTCTTGCCTGGGCCCACTGAGCCTGCCCACCCCTCCCCCGCCCTCCCCGTGACCAGCTTACTGCTGCAGAGTTTGTCTGCAAGGGAAAATGACAGTCCCGGCCTCACGTGCCTTTCAGATTGTCGGAAGGACAAAATGAGATGAAAGTGATCTGTGTTATCTTTAGCTCGCAGATGGGCAGACACACAGCCCGGTTCGCTGGGGTTCCCCACCTTGTGCCTGTTGTCTCATGTGATTATCAGCTCTCATTTCACTCTCAGAAGTTGAAGATGAAGAATTATATGGTCCCCAGTTTAGAGCTCTGACCATGTGCTTAATACTTTTTGGTTGCAAGATAGAGAGACCAACTTGAGGGACTTGAGCCAAAATAGGAACTGCTACATGAATACAAGGGCGGCTCAGAACCTGAGAGCAGGAGGCGAGGGCTCGGGAGTGCGGAGGGCCCTCGGGACAGGAGTTTCCTCACACTCCGTTCCTCCCTCCTGTGTCTGCGCTCCAGCGGCTTGTGTCCAGGTGTGGGCAGAACAGGACTGCCTTTGGGGTCAGAGTCCACATGTCCAGCCCAGGGGCAAGTGAGGCTTCCCAGCACTGTTCAACATGCCTCCTGCCATTCCGAAGTCCCCAGGAAGGAGCTTAATAGCCCCGGCTGGGGTGAGGGGTCCAGCCCTATCCTGAGAGCTGTAGCCATAAGAGGTGGGGGGGGGTCCCACCAAACCAAACAGGACTATCAGGGACCAATTTTATGGCTGAAGTGGAAGTTGGGGAGCTTAGAGGAGAGTCTTGGTGAGAGGCCATGCCAGAGGAGTGTGGCCCAGTGAGAGGGTAGGGCCTCCTGGGGGTCAAAGGCTTGGAGGTGACCTGAGGCCCATGCCATCCCCCAATTCCCCATTCCTGGCTGTGAACTGACCCCAGAACTGAGGGGTGGAGGGTCCTCCCCTTAGAGCTTTGCCCAGAGCCATGTGCGTGCCCTGGAGAGCCTGAGTTGAGGTCCCAGCTGTCCCACCCACTACCTCGGAGAGAACTGTGGGGCCCTAGTGGCAGAGTTTGGGCTCTGCCTGGATCCATGCCCAGGGCTGGGAGAGGACACAGGCCACGGTTCCTGTGGTCGGGCAGCGGCTGCCGCCTCGCTCAGACCCGGGCCAGGTCTTGCCACGGCTGCAGCTGAATCCCTGGCTCTCGTAAATGGGTTTATGCCACCAGCATGGCGCTGGCTTTAGGGAGTGAGACCTGATCGGCGAGCACAAGGCCGTGTAAAACCACGGCCCCAGGAAGCCTCTGAAGCACTGGGAAGGTCGGACCTTCTCCAAATTGCGTGGAATAGGAGGGGACTCGATTCTAAAGGAGAGTGACCAGGAAAGCTGGCATGTTTGTGGACAGTTCTTCATAAATTGACTCGAGCGCCATCTCTCCCATACCCCCCCACCAAATCCCAAGTCCAGCCTGAGGCCCCCAAATGTGCTCTGTCCCACCCTGGCCTCGGGCCTTTCATAGTCTCTTTCTCCTGCTTCAAACACCTTCATCTACCCTCCTCTCTTTGCCCAAGTCCTCAGCCTTCAGAACCCAACTTAGACGCCACCTCTTCCAGGAAGCCTGCCCTGCCCCCTTTGCCCATTTCCCCAGACTGGGTCAGATGCCCCAACTATGTGCTCCCACACCTCTCAGAAGATGGGGGCCTGGCATAGGGCATGGAGTAAGAGCCCCACAGATTTCTGTTGGATGATTGAATGGCAGGCTTCTGGACTGCCGCAGCAAATTTATCTGGGTGGATTTGATGGAATTCTATGTCAGCCCTTAAGACTCAAGGGCACCACCAAATGGTGAGGAGCCAGGCAGACAGGTGAGGAAGGTCTGCCCCAGTAGAACATTCTCTTCAGAGTATTAACAAACACACTAAAGACAAATTTTTTACTTACTTAAAATTAGTACCTGGAAGAAGGGACATCTGATCTGGGAATTACGAAACTCTGGGCATGTTCCCTAACACTGCCGATGGCAAGGCCAAGGGTCAACAGGCTTTCAACAGACCAGGCCTCGGCCCAAAGCCACAGCCCCCAGGGCTGCTAATGGCGCCAGGACCAGCGGGAGACGTGGGCCAGATGGCGTGGCTCCTGAGGCAGAAGAGCCAGGTGTGAGCTGAGCGCAGGCCCTGCTTGGGGACGAAGGGCCTGTCACACCTGGCCACCTGGGGCAGTGGAGTGCCCTTCTGGAACGGTGGAAGGCAGGCCTTGGTGTGGACACTGGGTCCCCAGGCTGCAGGCTGCTGGGTCACAGGTCTGCTCGGGGGATCCTGTGATGGATTCAGCTCTCAGTGAGCCATCCGCGAGGGGTGAGGCACCCAAGGTCATCCAGGCTCTGAAGGCCTAAGATTGTGCAAACCCTGGCCTGGGCCCCCCGACCCGGAAGGCACGATGGGGACTGTTCTCAGTCCTGGAGACACACACAGCCATGTTGCTGACAAAGGCCTTTATTGGGTCTCTGGCCCTGCCGTGGGGCCAGTCCAGGAGTCGTCTTTCCCAGGCCCAGGCTCCTCCTGGGGGAGGGGAGCAGCCCTCACACCTGGCACCCCTGAGTGCCATACTCCTGCAGGAAGTCCCGGAGCTGGGCACAGGCTGCCCGCTGGCGGGTGCTCCGGCACAAGCGTTCCGAGGGCATCTCCTCAATCCAGCTATTCGAGTCCAGCAGGTATTGGGGTCTGTGGGGGCAAAGGACAGGCAGCAGGGGTCAGGAGGATGGGCGGATAGAAGAGGAGAGCACATGGTCCCTGGCTTCTGAGGGGCAGGGCCTAGCACTGGGGATCCATTTCCTCATGAGGTGTGAGAACAGCAAGAGGCTCAGGGGCCCAGAGAACTCACTGTCCCTTGAGGTCACGGGTGGTCCCGTCCAGACCCATGATCAAATACTCCTTCCCAGGTTCCAAGTGAAGGCGGCAAGAGTTTCGAACCAGGAAGTTTCGGGTCTGACCAGCAGTGGCCTGGGCGTCCTTGGCTGTGGGCAGATAGGCCCAGAGCTCAGAGGGGAGGAGGAGGGGCAGGGACAGCCAGGGGCCAGGGGCTTTATAGACACCCCTGCCCCCCACCGAGCCCTGTCACTCCCAGCAGGGTGCTGCTTCCCCGTTTATGACAAACCCAGAGCTTCGAAGAAGAGGCCGAGGGGATCTAAGCTCAGACTCTTCTGAATTTTTACTATTAGGCAGCGAGGCCCCAAACCCGGACCTCAGCTGCCCTCTATCTACCCCGCCCTGCCCACACCCCTGGCCCGCCCCTTCATACAGAAGTGCACGACTTGGATGATACTGGTCTCAAAGAGGCGGAAAGCAGCTCTGGAATCTTCTCGGAGAACCTTAACCTGGAAGCCTGTGAGGGAGTTTAGGGGAAGGAAAGGAAGGAGCGTCACCCCGGGGCTCAGGGCTGCAAGTTGGTGTCAGAGCAAAGAGGCCGCCCGCAGGCCTGTGGCAGGAGCGGGCACGACCAGAGACCCTCAGAACCAATGGGCAAACTGACCATAGTCCACGCGGGGGTAGTAGCAGGCGAACTTCATCCTGTAGCCATCTACTTCCACCAGCCCCCGCTCCAGGGCGCGCCGCTGTCGCGGGCACTTGCCTGAGGTCAGGACCCAGGTGAGACAAGGTCAGCCCCAGCAAGCGCCCCCCCAGCCCGCCCACAGGCCCGCAGACCCCGGCTCACCCTCGGCACACTGGCAGACGTCGGCGGAGCACAGCGTGGACAAGAGCTTGCTCTTAGCTGGCGCGCCATAAAACACAGAGCACCTGTGCTCTGGGGAAACGCAGAGAGGGCAGTTAGGGCCCGAGCGCCCTTGCTGTCTCCCAGTCCTCTGGAGCCACAGGACCGCCCTGCCACCTTTTACTGCCCCAGCTCTGATGCCCCCCACCCCCCACGTGTCCGCAGTGCTCACCGGGGTTGTAGTAGTCATACAGGACTGCGCTGGCGGGCTGCACCAGCCCCACGGCCACCTCCTGCACGGCTCCAAATCCCACACATTCGCGAGAGGTGGGGACCTGGCACGGGGAGTGGGGGGGTCAGGGGCCCACTCCCTGGGCTCTGAGGGCCACTGTGCTGCATTTCCTTGGCCTGTCTCTGGTTCCCGCTGGTCTCATCCTCAGTGTCCTTCACCTTTTGTTGCCTGCTGGCTGCCAGAACTCTAAAAACTGCTCCCAAGGTCTCTGCTGACCTCACTGCCCAGATGGTGACCTCATCCCGGTCTCTTGTCTCCAAGAGCCTCCGCAGAGTGTTCCACCATGGACACTTTCCCGAAACTCAGGGTCAGCTTCCGGACCATCCCTGCTTCTGGCCCGCTTGCCTCTGACAGCCCCTCGTCTTCCTTCCAGGGGTCCAGGCCTGGCCCTGGCTCTTCCCCTGCGCTCCCCTGTGAATGTCTCCGCCACTCCCGGCTTTCACCAAACCCTCCAGGTTGACTCCCAAACAAACCTCTGAGCTTCATTCTTGCATTAGGATTTTTGTAGGATATATATATTCTTCAGATTCACTCTGCCTGCCCTCCAACCCACTCACCCTCCTGAGAGCCTCGCTTCATCACTGATACAATGAGGGCCTCCCTTATCTGCCACAACCTGTCACTGTGGGTGCTGTCACTACGCCCATTCCCTGGGGCCTGCCCCACACGCGAAAGCCTGGCTCCTTCTCCCCACGCCCGCACTGTGCGG